GACTTGAACACTGTACATCAGTTTTGGGCTGCTTTATTATAGATAACAGGCCAGTGTATTATTCTTATATTGTAATCAAATGCTGTGCTGATTGCTTTAATAACTCAACGAGGGATAGATCATGTGTTTCTCCTCTGGCTTCTGAAATGCAATATTTGAAACATGCATTTTCTGAAGTGAATGAACTGAGGAGTTTCCCGATCCTGTCAACCCGACGGTGTTTACATGCCAGACACGTGTTGGTCTCTAAACTCTCAACGAAGAGCTCTCGCCTTCCCTTAATTAAAGCCATCCAGCCGTGTTGTGCTCGCGTTACCGCTCATTGTTCGGTGGAATGCGCGAGCGTGGGAACGTTCCTGAAGGAGGGAAGCGCTACAGACGCCGATTGAGTCGGTCGAAGCGATGGAGAGCGTTTGAAGGGATCAGTGAAAGGCTTTAACACTCGACGAGTAACAGGATTTCTACTGTGCCAACTTTCTAAATCTGCTCTGCTTTCAGATCGCGGCTTCGTACGGAAACATGATCTGCGTGTTTGAGCCGGTGGAGGTCAGTCCGCAAGGGAAAGCACAGAAAGTGAGTGTCTTCTGGACTAAACCTGCTCGGTTTTTGAAGGTGTTCAATGTGAATGAAATTCCTGAAAATAGCTTGAATAGTTGAGCTTGCCGCTTGCAACACCAAGATCATGGGTTCGATTCCCAGGGAATGCATGAACTGATGATCTAATACACTGGAGCAGAGAAGGAATAATTATCTGAAAGAGTCTCTTCTGCTCACAGAAGCTGCAGTTATCTGATCATAAATACAGTAAAACAGTGAAATATTATTATAATGTAAATCATCTGTTCTCTATGTGAATATACAGTAAAGTGTAATTTATTCCTGTGATTTTCAGCATCATTACTCCAGTCTTCAGTGTCACATGATCCTTCAGAAATCACTCTAATATGAGGATCTGATGATCAACACACAGTTATGATTATTATCAGTGTTGAAAGCAGTTTGTGGAAACTGTCACACATTTTATTCTTCAGGATTCTCTGATGAAATGAACAGCATTTATTTAACACAAATCTTTTGTAACATTTTTAATGTCTTTACTGCCACTTTTAAACAACATTATGTGTACTTGTGTAATAAAAAAAAATATTTTCTAGATCTTCCTGACCCTAATCTTATGAACAGTCGATGTATCACGGTTTCCACAAAAATATGAAATTAGATATTTAACTTTATTTCTGATCAAATAAATGCAGCCTTTGTTTTCTTTCAAAAACAAACAAATCGTATTTATTCCAAACGTTTGACGCCCAGTGCACACCTTGACATTAATGTAGGTGACGTACCATGTGATGTTTGGTGTTGTTCTGTTCAGCAGAAGCTGAATTATCATTGGCAGAAGAGCGGGCAGTTCGCCCTGCAGTCCGTCGCACAGATCCTGGCGTGGCACCCGAACGGTACGTGAGATCAGCGCTGTTCTCTAACGCTGTTCTCTATCGCTGTTCTCTATCGCTGTTCTCTAACGCTGTTCTCTAACGCTGTTCTCTAAAGCTGTTCTCTAAAGCTGTTCTCTAACGCTGTTCTCTATCGCTGTTCTCTATCGCTGTTCTCTATCGCTGTTCTCTAACGCTGTTCTCTATCGCTGTTCTCTAACGCTGTTCTCTAACGCTGTTCTCTAACGCTGTTCTCTAACGCTGTTCTCTATCGCTGTTCTCTAACGCTGTCTCTTCTCTAACGCTGTTCTCTATCGCTGTTCTCTAACGCTGTTCTCTATCGCTGTTCTCTAACGCTGTTCTCTATCGCTGTTCTCTAACGCTGTTCTCTAACGCTGTTCTCTATCGCTGTTCTCTAACGCTGTTCTCTTCTCTAACGCTGTTCTCTATCGCTGTTCTCTAACGCTGTTCTCTATCGCTGTTCTCTATCGCTGTTCTCTATCGCTGTTCTCTAACGCTGTTCTCTATCGCTGTTCTCTATCGCTGTTCTCTAACGCTGTTTCTCTTCTCTAACGCTGTTCTCTAACGCTGTTCTCTATCGCTGTTCTCTAACGCTGTTCTCTTCTCTAACGCTGTTCTCTATCGCTGTTCTCTATCGCTGTTCTCTATCGCTGTTCTCTACGCTGTTCTCTATCGCTGTTCTCTAACGCTGTTCTCTAACGCTGTTCTCTATCGCTGTTCTCTAACGCTGTTCTCTTCTCTAACGCTGTTCTCTATCGCTGTTCTCTATCGCTGTTCTGTAACGCTGTTCTGTAACGCTGTTCTCTAACGCTGTTCTCTAACGCTGTTCTCTATCGCTGTTCTCTAACGCTGTTCTCTAACGCTGTTCTCTAACGCTGTTCTCTAAAGCTGTTCTCTAAAGCTGTTCTCTAACGCTGTTCTCTAACGCTGTTCTCTAACGCTGTTCTCTAACGCTGTTCTCTAACGCTGTTCTCTAACGCTGTTCTCTAACGCTGTTCTCTAACGCTGTTCTCTTCTCTATCGCTGTTCTCTAACGCTGTTCTCTATCGCTGTTCTCTATCGCTGTTCTCTAACGCTGTTCTCTATCGCTGTTCTCTAACGCTGTTCTCTAACGCTGTTCTCTATCGCTGTTCTCTAACGCTGTTCTCTTCTCTAACGCTGTTCTCTATCGCTGTTCTCTATCGCTGTTCTGTAACGCTGTTCTGTAACGCTGTTCTCTAACGCTGTTCTCTAACGCTGTTCTCTATCGCTGTTCTCTATCGCTGTTCTCTAACGCTGTTCTCTATCGCTGTTCTCTATCGCTGTTCTCTATCGCTGTTCTCTAACGCTGTTCTCTATCGCTGTTCTCTAACGCTGTTCTCTAACGCTGTTCTCTATCGCTGTTCTCTATCGCTGTTCTCTAAAGCTGTTCTCTAACGCTGTTCTGTAACGCTGTTCTCTAACGCTGTTCTGTAACGCTGTTCTGTAACGCTGTTCTCTAACGCTGTTCTCTAACGCTGTTCTCTATCGCTGTTCTCTATCGCTGTTCTCTAACGCTGTTCTCTAACGCTGTTCTCTATCGCTGTTCTCTAACGCTGTTCTCTAACGCTGTTCTCTATCGCTGTTCTCTATCGCTGTTCTCTAAAGCTGTTCTCTAACGCTGTTCTGTAACGCTGTTCTCTAACGCTGTTCTCTAACGCTGTTCTGTAACGCTGTTCTGTAACGCTGTTCTCTAACGCTGTTCTCTAACGCTGTTCTCTAACGCTGTTCTGTAACGCTGTTCTCTAACGCTGTTCTCTAACGCTGTTCTCTAACGCTGTTCTCTAACGCTGTTCTCTAAAGCTGTTCTCTAACGCTGTTCTCTAACGCTGTTCTCTAAAGCTGTTCTCTAACGCTGTTCTCTAATCGCTGTTCTCTATCGCTGTTCTCTAACGCTGTTCTGTAACGCTGTTCTCTAACGCTGTGTTCTCTAACGCTGTTCTCTTACGCTGTTCTCTAACGCTGTTCTGTAACGCTGTTCTGTAACGCTGTTCTCTAACGCTGTGTTCTCTAACGCTGTTCTCTTACGCTGTTCTCTAACGCTGTTCTGTAACGCTGTTCTGTAACGCTGTTCTCTAAGCTGTTCTCTAACGCTGTTCTCTAACGCTGTTCTCTAACGCTGTTCTCTAACGCTGTTCTCTAACGCTGTTCTCTAACGCTGTTCTCTAACGCTGTTCTCTAACGCTGTTCTCTAACGCTGTTCTCTAACGCTGTTTCTCTAACGCTGTTCTCTAACGCTGTTCTGTAACGCTGTTCTCTTACGCTGTTCTCTAACGCTGTTCTCTAACGCTGTTCTTTTACGCTGTTCTCTAACGCTGTTCTCTAACGCTGTTCTCTAACGCTGTTCTCTAACGCTGTTCTTTTAACGCTGTTCTCTAACGCTGTTCTCTAACGCTGTTCTCTAACGCTGTTCTCTAACGCTGTTCTCTAACGCTGTTCTCTAACGCTGTTTCTCTAACGCTGTTCTCTAACGCTGTTCTCTAACGCTGTTCTCTAACGCTGTTCTCTAACGCTGTTCTCTAACGCTGTGTTCTCTAACGCTGTTCTCTAACGCTGTTCTCTAACGCTGTTCTTTTACGCTGTTCTCTAACGCTGTTCTCTAACGCTGTTCTCTAACGCTGTTCTCTAACGCTGTTCTTTTACGCTGTTCTCTAACGCTGTTCTCTAACGCTGTTCTCTAACGCTGTTCTCTAACGCTGTTCTCTAACGCTGTTCTCTAACGCTGTGTTCTCTAACGCTGTTCTCTAACGCTGTTCTCTAACGCTGTTCTCTAACGCTGTTCTCTAACGCTGTTCTCTAACGCTGTGTTCTCTAACGCTGTTCTCTAACGCTGTTCTGTAACGCTGTTCTCTTACGCTGTTCTCTAACGCTGTTCTCTAACGCTGTTCTCTAACGCTGTTCTCTAACGCTGTTCTCTAACGCTGTTCTTTTACGCTGTTCTCTAACGCTGTTCTCTAACGCTGTTCTCTAACGCTGTTCTCTAACGCTGTGTTCTCTAACGCTGTTCTCTTACGCTGTTCTCTAACGCTGTTCTGTAACGCTGTTCTGTAACGCTGTTCTCTAAAGCTGTTCTCTAACGCTGTTCTGTAACGCTGTTCTGTAACGCTGTTCTCTAACGCTGTGTTCTCTAACGCTGTTCTCTTACGCTGTTCTCTAACGCTGTTCTGTAACGCTGTTCTCTAACGCTGTTCTCTAACGCTGTTCTCTAACGCTGTTCTCTAACGCTGTGTTCTCTAACGCTGTTCTCTAACGCTGTTCTGTAACGCTGTTCTCTTACGCTGTTCTCTAACGCTGTTCTCTAACGCTGTTCTCTAACGCTGTTCTCTAACGCTGTTCTTTACGCTGTTCTCTAACGCTGTTCTCTAACGCTGTTCTCTATCGCTGTTCTGTAACGCTGTTCTCTAACGCTGTTCTCTAACGCTGTTCTCTAACGCTGTTCTCTATCGCTGTTCTGTAACGCTGTTCTCTAACGCTGTGTTCTCTAACGCTGTTCTCTAACGCTGTTCTCTAACGCTGTTCTGTAACGCTGTTCTCTTACGCTGTTCTCTAACGCTGTTCTCTAACGCTGTTCTCTAACGCTGTTCTCTAACGCTGTTCTCTAACGCTGTTCTTTACGCTGTTCTCTAACGCTGTTCTCTAACGCTGTTCTCTAACGCTGTTCTCTTCTCTAACGCTGTTCTCTAACGCTGTTCTCTATCGCTGTTCTGTAACGCTGTTCTCTAACGCTGTTCTCTATCGCTGTTCTGTAACGCTGTTCTCTAACGCTGTTCTCTAACGCTGTTCTGTAACGCTGTTCTGTAACGCTGTTCTCTTCTGTAACGCTGTTCTGTAACGCTGTTCTGTAACGCTGTTCTGTAACGCTGTCTTCTTCAGGTTCGTGTCTCCTGACGGGCTCGGCGAGTCTTCAGCTGTGGTGTGACGTGTGTGTCAGTGCAGATCCTGAAGATGAGGCCGTGGGTCCTCAGCGCTGCTGGAGATGCATATGGCAAAGCAAGTCAGTGTTCGTCCTTCACGTCCTTCACGTCACTCTGAGTGTCTCTGAATGCACTCTAACCGCTCCAGTAAAATCTCTCTGATTGTTACAGGTCCGCCGCCTCGACTCACTTCATCAAGTTTTCCCCTGACGGAGAGTTTTTTGCCACCGCAGGACAGGTTTGTGCTTGAACATGTGTGATATGTGCACTTAATGATTGCATTTATTTTTCAGGATTTTCTAAAATCATTTGACAGCTTTGTGTTCGCTCTTCACCCACAATCTTGTCATCCTTGATTTTAATACGGCGTCTGTTTATTTACAACAAGAAACATCCATTTCATATCCGTTCAGTCGTGAGTGTGTGTTGTTTCAGGACGACTGCTTGGTGAAAGTGTGGTACAGCACCAGCAAATGGCAGGCGGACGCCACCAAGCTCTTCACCCCGCTCGACCTGCGCTCCGAGATCAACTTCTCCTTCATTTACCTGGCTCACCCTCGCTCCGTCACCGGCTTCTCCTGGAGGAAGACCAGCAAACACATGCCCAGGTGAGTCCAGCCTGCAGACGCCTTACACCATTCAACTTAACGTTTCATTTAATATTCAGCAATAATGTTGATCTGCCTGCATTGACACTATTATACAGAACTGAACTGTGTTTGTTGTTCCGGCGCGACGTCGCAGAAAAATAGAAACCATGTATAAAATAGATTCGTCACATGTTGCGGCTGGTTAGGACCCGGTGTGACGCTCTCTCTGAACGCCCGTGTGTGTGTTCCTCCAGAGGAGTGGTGTGTAACGTGCTGCTGACCTGCTGCAAGGACAGTGTGTGTCGACTGTGGGCCGAAACGCTTCTGCCCAGCGACTGCCTGCTGTCCGGACTCAGACACAACCAGTGCAACAACAACAAGACCAACAACATGAAGAAGTCGTCCAGCAGCACCCTGAGCCAGAGCCCGATGGAGGTGAGGGGGCAGAGAGTTAAAGTCTAACAGGGTAGAATATAGTTTCATCTTTGTTAAAGCTGTATTATGTTGTTTTATTAATATTAATGACGGACGACGGTGGGAATATTAGTCTGCCGTCACTTTAAGACCGAATAAACTGAGTGAGTCTCGATTTTTCAATCTTCTGCGTTTAAAAGTGTGTGAATGTGTAAATTGTCAAGACAAAACAGATCCATATGATAAACTTTCCCTCTTGGTTGAATCGATCCGCTAATCGCATGCGCAGTGAGCCGTGGGATCCGTCGCCCCCTAGTGTTCACTGATGAGCGACTCTCTGTCCACAGCTGAACCTGAAGCCGTCGTGGAGAGAGGAGGTGAGGAGTTTATCTCAGCTCTCGTACACCGGCCCTCTTCCACAGCAGCAGAACAAACACTACTCACACCGTGCCAACATCACGCACGCCAACGCCCTGTGCCACTTCCACATCGCTGCCAGCATCAACCCAGCCACAGGTAACATGACCTCAGTGATGCTGACCGACACCCACATGACCTCAGCGACGCTGACCGACACCCACATGACCTCAGTGATGCTCTCGGCACCCCTCTCTTCAAACCTGTTGTGGAAACACGAGACCCACCGCCCTGTGTAATGTGTGTGTGTGTGTGTGTGCAGACATCCCTCTGCTGCCCTCCATCTCGGCCATGAGCGGCGCGGATGAGGAGGAACCGGGCGGCTCCTTCACCGTCCACTGGCTCAACAACAAGGAGCTGCACCTGACGCTGAGCATGGAGGTGTTCCTGCAGCAGCTGCGGAGCCGAGACGAGCAGAGCGGCCCCGCTGACACACACGGTACCGTGCCAGAATTTGTGGAAATGTGACGCCTCCTTGATGCTTTGTCGACTCCATGCTCGTACTCATGCTGTTCAATTGTCAAAATCAGCATAGATGTAAAAAAAAATCAAATTATAATATTTTAACAAAAATGAAACTAAATGCGCTTATCAAATGTGTACAGTACATACAGTGGGACTGCAGACTCTAAATATTGACATTAACATTAGCAATGCTGTAGAAGTGCACTTTACTAATAGTAAATGTTAACTAATCTAATTAAGTTAATGATTTTTATACAGCGATTCAGAGGTCTCGAGAGTTCAGTGTTGGGCAGGTCAGGTGTTTTAACGATTCATTAAGGTGAAAGGTTAAAATGAGTCATATCGGACGTGTCATTAGTGGACGTCTGAGTGATTATCTCGGCAGTTTAGGACATCGCACAAGATTTGCGTCTGTTCATATAGGTTTTTTCAGTAATTGAAATGAAAAAAAAAACAGTGTTACTCATCTTACGAAATTAACGAATTATTTTTACGCCTCAAAATAAAAAGTGGACCGAGATAGCAAGTGAATTCAGGCCTGTGTCATGTTGCACGTTTGAGAAAAACAATCGCACAATAAAAACAGATTTTCAGGTCTATGTCCAATTAAATCACTCACCCTTTTCCAGTTATTGGGTTAAAATACATATTTTGCCTGTTATTTGACTAAGGTGTACTAAAATGTGATTCCAAATTTTCTTTCTCATATCGCAATATAATATTGATATCGTTCGGACAGTGAAAAATATCTTGATATGAATTTTTGCTCATATCGCCCACCCCTAGTGTGTGTGTGTGTGTGTGTGTGTGTGTGTGTGTTCAAAGGCAAGGAAACCTGAAAGAGGAATCAGTTCTGTGTTCAAGTCTCTCTCCCTCTCTCTCTCTCTCTCTCTCTCTCTCCCTCTCTCTCTCTCTCTCTCTCTCTCTCTCTCTCTCTCTCTCTCTCAAGAAAAAACATGTCTAAATGATGAACTTGCACTCTATGATGGCTAAATTTACTGTCATATGAGATTTAGGTCACACTAGAGCACTAGATGTTCATAAATATTGCGTGGGTAATAAAGCTGTGGTGTGTGACATTTGTGCACTAATAAGTCTGTGAGGATTCGCATGCTCCAAAAATGCTTTTTTTCTTAGTATTTTTGTCTTGTTTCCCCCCCTGACTGGCTATACTATCAATCATATTAGTAACAAAAACAAAAACACATCCTTCCTTTAGAAAGGCTGCAGTGGAAGTGTTGAACTTTCTCAGAACGAGGCCTTTCCTTTCGTTGCGCATTTTCTTCTGCTGCTAGTGACGTCATTTAGTTAATCGCCTTTCCAAAGCTGATTTAATCATGGTAAAGCAAAATTAATTTACAAAATAGTTTATATATATATATATATATATATGAAGAGTTCAGATGCAAAAGCCTCTAAGTGCCATTTGAAATTTTCTTCTTTAATTATGATTTTTATCAAACTTGTATATTTAAGTTCAGTGATTTCACTTAAATGGCAATGATAATTACCTATTAATTGTTATTTAAGTGAAATTACTGAACTTAAATATACAAGTTTCATAAAAATCATCATTAAAGAAGAAAATTTCAAATGGCATTTAGAGGCTTTTGCATCTGAACTCTTCATATATTGTGTGTGTGTGTGTGTGTAATTAGAATGGGGCGATTCTCCACACACACCGCGGGTCCACTTACATCCACATGTTTCTACGGTGGCCCTGGACGGACAAACGCGTTTCGTCACTGTGTTGTTCTTCATGATGAGAGTCTGTTAAAGACTCTGAATAATCAAGTAAACCTAATTTATTAATTTATCTTTGTAATGAAACCTCATTGTTTAACTGGCTACTCTCTGCTGTCTCAGACGACGACATCACTTCCTGTCGGCCGCCGTAACGTCTGCCGGGTGCAATTCGCAACCTCACCACTAGATGCCGCTAAATTACACACTGCACCTTTAAGAATTCTTTAGATATTTGGGCTGGAAACAAGACAGAAATACTAAGTAGGCATGTTCTGCAGATGTGGACGAGGAGGCGAGCGGCGCGTATGCTGTGGCTGTGGATCATCAGGTGGATGTTCTGCTGGGAGACTGGACCCGAGGAGCGGATATGCTGTTCAGCATACACCCGATGGACGGCTCGCTGCTGGTGTGGCACGTCGACTGGCTGGACGAGTACCAGCCGGGCATGTTCCGACAGGCACAGGTATAACCAGCTTTCTCTCGGCGTGTAAGATCCTGCCAGTGCTGTGACGTTTGCATCATCGAATCATGTTCCTGCGAGCTTTGAACCCTTCTCTCTATTATAAATACAGATGTCTAGACTCAGTGTTAATGTTCTGTTTCAGGTGTCCTTCGTGTCCAGAATTCCCGTGGCCTTCCCCACCGGTGACGCCAACTCGCTCAGCCGCAGCGTGGTCATGTACGCCTGCAACAAAAACGTGGACCTGGCGATCCAGCACGGGCGTCAGCGGCCCGCGGGTCTCACGCACTCGTCCTCGGCGCTGATCGGTCAGAGCAAACCCTCGTCCAACAGCCTGCGCCTCAGCATCTTCACCCCCAGCGTCCTGATGATCTCCAAACACGCCGACGGATCCCTCAACCAGTGGGCCGTCAGCTTCGCCGAGGACTCTGGGTTCTCCACGGTGCTCAGCGTGTCCCATAAGTCCCGATACTGTGGCCACCGCTTCCACCTGAACGACCTGGCCTGCCACTCGCTGCTGCCGCTACTGCTGACCACCTCGCACCACAACGCCCTGAGGACACCCGACGCCGATCTGACCCGGCCGCCGGACCCGGCCCGCAGGAGCCGAGCCTCATCCGGAGGCGTCTCGCAGGACCCGAACGCCGTCTACAGCGAGCTGATCCTGTGGCGCGTGGATCCGGTGGGACCGCTGTCGTTCTCGGGAGGCGTGTCGGAGCTAGCGAGGATAAACTCGCTGCACGCGTCGGCCTTCGCTAACGTGGCCTGGCTGCCCGCGCTCATCCCCAGCAACTGCCTCGGTGAGCACGCTCTCATTGGTTAACCTGGGGGGGGGGGAGGGACTATGGAAGTGAATCATGTCAAATGTTGAATTGCACCAATTGAAAAAAAAATATGCATTGCGTTAACCATGCTTGCATTTTAAGCCATTGCATTTTTAAGGCTTGCATTTTTATGGGCTGAAATTCAACATGATTGAATATTTAAGCTGTGAATATTTCAATTAAAAACATTTCAAACACATTTTCATTATTACAAATTCAATAATCCATATTTCACTTCCAACACATTAGTTACATAAGTCACATTAGTTAAATCTCTATCTATATTGCATGTTCAGACTTGCATGTTCATTCATATTAACTGGTTAATAGATGTTTTCTACAGGAGTATAATTATGAAATTAAAAAATTCTAAATTAATGCATTACAATTCAACTAAACCCCTTATATTTTAGTCATCTGAATTGTTTTATGAAATACAATAAGATTTTAGTCGACTAATTCTATATTAGATACTAATAAATACTAATTTACACTAGATATAATAAATAGTTTGTTAAACTCTTGTTTCTTTGAATTGGAGGATTTCGAGAGATTCCCACCCCTAATAAAAGCAGAATTCACTGCGGAAACCAGTTTCTTCTCGAATTCTGATGAGTTCAGCCTGACAGTCTCAAGTTAAAGACAAGAAAGCAAGAGTACAGGACAGGAAAAAGCACTCTGTGTGCGGATTTGGATATTTTTGGCGGTTTCATCCTTTAATAAGCGAGCTGGAAACACATCTGCGCCATCAGTCTCGGCCGCATAGAATATTCATAACTCTATTATTCAGCTTATGAATGTTTACTGTGCATCTCTAAAAGTTTAACTGGTGCACCTTTGTTCTGATTGGATGGATATTTCATTTCTTTCCCATAGGTGTGTATGGAAACTCACCCAGCGCCTGCTTCATCGCCAGCGACGGACACTCGCTGAGACTGTATCAGGCCATCATAGAGGCCAAGAAACTGCTGAGTGAACTCTCCAACCCCGACATCTCCGTAAGAACCAGCCCGCCTCTTATATCCATGTGTGAAATTGGGCTGACAAAATGGCTGAACTGGGCGATTCGAATATTTTTCTTAAATATTAGTAAAACCAATAGAGGATAAAAGCACTGTATTATCTCCTGTGTCCACAAGAGGGAGCGCAATAAGCAAATATAAACCAAATCAAACATTTTTATTGACATTAAATAACATTCACTTTTTAAAGTGCATTAATTTTTTTAACGATTGTTCTTAAAATATTATTTCCTTAAAGTGCATTCAAGGAAAATTAGGTTAAACTGTGTTCGGGTTAGGGTTTGTGCATCTGTAACCTGAGAAAACACTCTTCAACACTCAGCGTAATGCACTACATGAACACACAATATCACTGTCATTCAGAAACACTTCTACTCACTACAGCTACACACTGTTGTTCACACACTGTTTAAATTCAACAAATATTCAAAATTCAGATTTTTTTTTCGGTCCTGCACATGTGTGTGTGTGTGATGTCTCACTCCTCCAGAAATGCGTCAGCGAGGTGTTTAACATCATCAGCCAGCAGTCGACGGCCAAACCCGGCTGCATCATTGAGCTCGACGCCATCACGGACTTTGTACGTATAAGATCCGCCGCTGACTGTAACTAACAGAAGAGTGTCATGTCGTTTCCCACAATGCTCAGCGCTCACCCTCTCTCGCACTGTTTGTTCAGCAGGGGAAAGAGACGCAGCTGTTGCACGTGTTTGAGGAGGAGCTGATCTTGGGAAATGAGAAGATAGACGACTGCCTGCAGGATTCTGGTAGGAGATCATTCTCTCTGATAGCTCACTCGCTACGTTCACACGCAACCAGATCGTCCGCTAGTCATGGGACTGACGGCTCAATCGACTGAACGCTTCATGTAAACGCCTTCATCGATCTGGTTGAACTTGCAGAAATAGCGAAATGATGTAGAAATAGCGAAATGATGTAGAAATAGCGTAATGATGTAGAAATTACGTAGAAATAACCTAATTACATAGAAATTGCCTAATGACGTAGAAATTGCCTAATGACGTAGAAATGATGTAGAAGTAGCGTAATGACGTAGAAATAGCGTAACGACGTAGAAATGATGTAGAAATAGTGTAATGACGTAGAAATTGCCTAATGACGTAGAAATAGCGTAATGACGTGTTGGGTGTGTGTCTGTGTGGTAACCGCTTGTGTTCGTCTCAGTCCCCAGCCGGACGCTGTTCTCCGCTCGCTTCTTCCTGGTGGTGGTGGAGATCTCGGAGAACGCCAGATCTCTCCTGCACATGTGGCATCTTCAGTTAGACGCCGTTCCCGTCATTATGGGTTTGTAATGGATGTTGTTAAGAAAAGGGTTTAGTATATCATGTGACATGCTTCCTAGTGACCTTGATTCTCAGTAGCTACGCACACACCTATAGACTGAACACGTGACACATCAGCGTTTCACAGATTTTTGAAGTTCGCACAGAGATGATCACGCTTTTTCAATACTTGCACCTGGGATCGTGTTTCAGTGTGTGTGTTCTCGAGCTCAGACACTGCTGTGTGTGAATGAACGTCCAGAACACATTAGAGTTTCTGTGTTCAGTAGAGCGGTGTCGGGTTAGCGGCCCATAAGTTAATCACTAACGATCTTTACAACGGAAGTGAATCAATCAAAACTAACTTTATCTGGACGATAACTTTATTGTAGATCTGCTGTAAAGCCTGAACACTCTCTGTGACTGTAATCTGCTGTTCTCACTGTAACGCTGCTGTCCAGCTCTATAGTGTTAAAGCGCTGTATAGATGAAGCCTATATAACCGCATGATCACTAGTTTAACATTACATCAGCTATAAAGGTTATGCTCACACTCATTATATTTGACTCTTTCGGTCGATTAAACAGATTTGTTTCGTTCTTTCAGAGCAAACTCAACCTGCAGAGAGAGAGAGTGTGTCTCCATCACCCACAAACTGCTCTCAGTTTAACTTCGAGACGGTCGGCTCGCCGCATGTCCAGAGAGCGAGACTCGGCGCGTCCAACCTCCAGAGCGCCTGCCGCCTCGCGCTGACCCGCAGGAAGGTGTTCAGCCAGGAGCTGGCCGTGCCCCCGGGCGTGGAGGTCATGCGAGCGACGCCTGCTGCAGGTGTGTGTGTGTGTGTGTGTCACTTGTAATGATTACTTTTTCAAGGAACTAATAAAGTTATGCGTTACTTTTAAAATTTTCAACAAAATATCTGAGTTACCTTTTCAAATAAGCAACACAAGTTTCTTTGTTTTCCCATTTATTGACTGACATCTCTCTTGTCCCCACGTTGAGAGAAATCAAAGTGCAGAGGCGTTTTGTGTGAACATTGTAGTTCTAGACTAAATATGAGCATTTTTTGCTTTCTTTTTGTATAACTTTTCAGAACAAAGACAGTCAACACAGCTCCTATGTTTAATTTCTGACCGATTATCTGAAAAACATTTGCCTTGCAGGACACTTGAGTTCTTCGTCTCTGCAGCCGGCTGGACGGGCTCCGTATCTGCTGGCCACATCGTGCTCCGACGGATCGGTCCGGTTCTGGAGGTGTAGCGCCGTCTCCGACCCCGATAGCTCTGGAGAAGCGGCGTACGTCTGGGAGGAGTGGCCTTTGCTGGTGGAGGACGGCGTGGCTAGCACTAGCGCTCTGAGCGTGAGCGGTCGGATAATGGGTCTCAGTTGCTGCCACACCAGCAGAGTCGCCGTAGCGCACCAGAACAACGGATCCGGTTCTGCCGAGCCACTCATGAACGTGAGCATATTCCAGTGCGACTCCACCGGCGGCTCCCAGTGGATGCTGGAACAGGTCCTGAAGGTCAGCGGCTCGTACAGCCCCAGTAGTAATGAGTGCGATAAGAGCCTGATGGGCTTGTCGAGCAGTGATTGGCTGGTTGTCGCTGGGAAGAGGCAGGTCCACTTAGACTGGGTTTCCAGAGAAGACGGTTCTCATGTATTAACCGTCGCTCTGGGATCCAAGCTTTACATGTACGGGTTGCTTTCGGGAAAACCTCCGGATCTGGGTCTGTCCGACAGCGGCAGGGAGCACCACTGCGCCCGCCTGGTTCTGCTCAGAGTGGTGGATCTAGTGTCGTCCGTCGAGGGGTCGCTACCCATTCCGGTCTCGCTGTCTTGGGTGCGGGATGGGATCTTAGTGGTCGGGATGGACTGTGAGATGCACGTCTACTCCCAATGGCAGCCGGCGCTGACCGCCGGAGGGAGCAGCGTGGGCACCGGCAGCGTGACGTCTCTGAAACTGGAAGGGCTCAGTCCGAATCCTGCTAAAAAGACTCTGAGCAGGTCCATGACCAGTTTGGCTCAGAAGCTCAGTGGAAAGAGAACCGTGTACGACCTCCCGGCTGAGATGGAGGACTCTGGGCTGTTCGAGGCCGCGCACCACCTGTCGCCCACTCTGCCCCAGTATCACCCGGTGCAGCTGTTGGAGCTCATGGACCTCGGGAAGATGCGGCGGGCCAAAGCCATCCTTTCCCATCTGGTGAAGTGCATCGCCGGAGAGATCGTGACCCTGAAGGACCCCGCTGTCAGCCAGGAGCGCCGTCTGCGCTCGCTCACCATTAGCGCCAGCGGGAGCACCACCAGAGACCCAAAGATGTTCAGCAAGGGCGAGAGCTCGGACTACACCGAGATCGACTCCATCCCGCCGCTGCCGCTGTATGCGCTGTTAGCCGCCGATGACGAAACGGCCCCCGGTGCCAAAGAAAGAGCGGACAGCGTGAGCGCTCACGGCGCCAGTGCGTCCAGTCAGAGCGGCGCTTACGATGAGCTCTTCTCCAGCCCCGGCGTCAGCGCGGATGACCTGGACCCGTTTGATGCGGACGAGGAAGATGCTAGCGCTAAAGTCATCGATCTGTCCAAGTACAGCCCCACGTTTTTCGGCTCGGAGCACGCTCAGGTGCTGTCCGGACACCTGCTGCACTCCAGCCTGCCGGGCCTGACCCGCATGGAGCAGATGTCTCTGATGGCCTTGGCGGACACCATCGCCTCCACCAGCACCGACATCGGAGAGAGCCAAGGAAAAGGCAAAGGTCATTATCTTATATTGATGATTGTTCATTTGTATAGATGTGATCAATGTGATGTCATTTCCTCAGGCGGAGAGACTCTGGATGAATGCGGACTGAAGTTCCTGCTGGCCGTTCGCCTGCACACCTTCCTCCTGACGTCTCTGCCCCCGGCTCATCGAGCTCAGCTGTCCTGTCAAGGTGCGTGTACAAGGGTTTAGAGTGTGGTTCTGCGTCGGTGTGACGGGCGCATACGTTCGAAAATCAATTGCACAACCAATTGGACCCACCAACACAAGTTTCAAACCGAAAATGTGTTTTAGATGGACAGATCAATACAGCACACAGAACATGTGGGATGTTGGGAAATAACAATGTCTTTTCTGTTAACCAAATACTTTTTAAAGGAGTCTTTCACTTTTGAGAGAACTTTAGCTGATAATTTACGTCATCCAAGATGTCCACGTCTTTCTTTCTTCAGTCGAAAAGAAATGAAGGTTTTTGATGAAAACATTCCAGGATTTTCTCCATATAATGGACTTCAATGGGAACCAAACGGTTCAAGGTCGAAAAGACAGTTAATAACAGTTTCAGATGCAGCTTCAAATGTCTTTAAACGACACCAGACGATGAATAAGGGTCTTATCATGCGAAACGATCGGTTATTTCAAAACTTATTCCAAAAATGTAACTTTTCTAAGGACAAATGCTAGCCTTGCTCTATTCTGTGAGGCGCGTTTGTAACGTCATGTAATACGTAATTACGTTCAAAAGGTCACGGGCGACGTAGCCAGAAGTACAGAATCAAAATCGTCCGACATCGTTGTTTTACCTTTTAATTCCTTTTTTTGTAAACGCCGTTTGAGTTAGTTTGCACGTTCAACCTATGCGTTCAACTTGTAAACACGGACTCTGTACTTCCGGCTACGTCGCCCGTGACCTTTTGAACGTAATTGCGTATTACATGACGTTACAAACGCGTGGACATGGACATCTTGGATGACGTAAATAATCAGCAAAAGTTTTTTCAAAAGTGAACTACTCCTTTAATATTCGCTATTACTTCAATGCAAGTGAACAAGCGCACCGTTATGTGTTGTGCAGTGACGTGTGTTCAAGTAAGCCAGAAATGAGCAGATTCTGCCCAATACACTGCATTTAATATATCATGACGTCTCACGAGTTCTGTATTTGCGTTAAATCTGCGCAAAATTTGGCTTACACGAACTTCCCCAGAAAAGTGAGTAAACAGAGAAACTGGGGCGGTCAGTTAAACGCGTTATTAACGGCGTTAACGCAAACCCATTTTAACGGCGTCAATTTTTTTATCGTGCGATTAACAATCTTTTTGGCCTAGCAAACTTTGTCGTTTTTTTTTACATGCTTTTGCAACTGGACGCGGCATGCGGACGTTTTGTTGCTTTGACGACCAAAGCACAAGCGGATCTAGCGTAAACACGCCGCACACACTTGTTTGGGTTTGCGAGCCGGCCAAATAGTTGGTAAACGTTACGTTTCGAGTGGATGACGAGCACGAGACGCCGAAACGGATGCCAATAAGATTATTTGCTTCAAGTGAGAATGTTAGTGTGAGATTGAACACAGTATATGCCAACGTTGTTTTCAATAAAAAGCATTTGCACAAAGCAAGCCGATCCACTTTTCCTTGTTGATAAGAGCATTAAAATGAGAAAAAATAATGTGAGAAAAAGAAATCAAGAGACATTCAGAATAGATAAAAATGTGTAATTAATCGCGAGTTAACTACGACATTAATGCGATTAATCACGATTAAATATTTTAATCGTTTGACAGCACTAATAGAAATGTTAAAATGCTACTCTGGGTTGGTCTTCCACCGCTGTGCGTCTGGTCTGCAGGCCTGTCCACCTGCCACTACGCCTGGGCGTTCCACTCCGAGGCCGAGGAGGAGCTGCTCCACATGCTCCCCGCGCTGCAGAAGGCTGACCCCTGCTGGCCGGAGCTGCGGGCCATGGGTGTGGGCTGGTGGCTGCGCAGCACCAATAAGCTTCGCAGATGCATCGAGAAGGTCTGTCGAAACTGATTCTGTTTTCTATGCATATTAAGGAATGAGTCATGTGGGAAACTTGAGTAAATGAAACGTTCATGTTTTAATGCGCTGGAGATGCATGCATTCTGTCTGTGTGATTATTTTCTCCAGTAAATGCTTCTTGATTTACGAATGTTTTGATATTTGGACTGGAAACAAGACAAACATGCCGAGTAAAGAACAGCAGTTTTTGCAGTGAACCGTATGGGGTGATAAAAAAAAATCATTCAAATGGAAAACAAGATTATTTTTCTTACCCCATTGGCAGATCATTTTGCTTATTTTAAGCAAAAACTCACTTAATTTAGATTTTTCTTTTTTTATCGGAGAATTTCTTATGTCGTCTTACTCATCTACTAAATGCATCTTGATTTAAGAATGTTAAGATTTTTGCAGTGTAAAGAGTTATTGAAGGTTGGAAAATTCTTGATGGTCATTTTCTTAAACCTTTAGCTAATAACTGGGATCTCAAGCATCTAACATCCCTAAATGCATTACCTCTCCTACACAGATTGTCCAGTCTGCTTATTTAGGTGTTGTTCTGTGTGCATGTGCATCAGATGCACGTCTTAAGCCACAATATCCAACTTCTCATTGAGATCACTAAACTAAACTTTACTAGACTTTTGTTATGCAAGACGTCAATGTCATTTGAAAACGTTAGACAAATCAGAAAAGGGGGTGAGCATCTCGGTGTTTGTTTGAATGCTGATCATCATACTGTCACTGCTTTTCTTGTGCTTCTGAAACCCAATGTTAAAAGAGTAGTTCACTTTTGCTGATAATTTACTGACCCCCATGTCATCCAAGATGTCCATGTCTTTCTTTCTTCAGTCGAAAAGAAATTTTCCTTTCTTCAGGATTTTCTCCATATAATGGACTTCAATGGGGTCCAAACAGTTCAAGGTCCAAATGAGAGTTTCAGTGCAAACTGTTCAAAGGGCTTTAAACGATTCCAGACGATAAATAAGGGTCTTATCAAGCGAAACGATCGCTCATTTAATAAATAAATAACAAAGTTGAAGTTTTATAAGCTCAAAAACGAAAAAAGATTCGTTCATTTTGATGAACGAGTTCGAACAGGAGAGTCACGAACGCGCATCACAGAACAGAGCAAGGCGAGCATTTGAGCTTATAAAACTTATTTTAACTTTTTTTTTTATTTTTTATGAGTGATCGTTTCGCTTGATAAGACCCTTATTCATCGTCTGGTGTCGTTTAAAGCCCTTTGAACAGTTTGCACTGAAACTCTCATTTGGACCTTGAACCGTTTGGACCCCATTGAAGTCCATTATATGGAGAAATGATTTCATCAAAAACCTTAATTTCTTTTCGACTGAAGAAAGAAAGACGTGGACATCTTGGATGACACGGGGGCGAGTAAATTATCAGCAAAAGTTTTTTAAAGTGAACTCCTCCTTTAATGATGGCTGATCCTCTCCCTCTGCCAGGTGGCAAAAGCTGCTTTTCAGAGAAACAACGACCCGTTAGACGCAGCCTTGTTTTATCTGGCCATGAAGAAGAAAGCTGTGGTTTGGGGACTGTACAGGTAACTCACACACACACACACATGTTGAAGTGTCATTCCCCCGTCAGCAAAGGCTTCCGTTCACCGAGAGCTTGTGTGTGTGTGTGTGTGTGTGTAGGTCTCACCAGAACTCGAAGATGACCTCGTTCTTCAGCAATAACTTCAGTGAAGATCGCTGGAGGAGAGCGGCTCTGAAGAACGCCTTCTCTCTGCTGGGGAAACAGCGCTTCCAGCATTCTGCGGCTTTCTTTCTGCTGGCTGGATCCCTGAAAGATGCTGTCGAGGTGTGCAAATCTTTCCAGTCAAACTTCCTCATGTTTTGCAGTGTAAACTGACTGCGTCCACACACTCGGTGTGTATATGACAGATTGAGGGCGGAGTATTGCTGGCTTAGCAAATCGCGCTACATTACGGCCGTTCTCGACAACGCACCAAAAGTGGAGATTCAGTACGTGCTCGCATGAACAAACATAGACAGGGTGACAGATTTAAGACTCAGACTTTCTTTCAAACAAAATTCCCAAATATCCTCACGATGGCAACCGTGACATTGATTATTATACAAGAGGTCAACAAACAAACAGTGCTTTATTTTGCTACGAAAGAATAGTTCCAACGATGGACACAGCAGAACTACAGCACACATCGTGTTTCGTGAACAATTCTGCCGCTTTGAGTGAATCGTGAGTCACTCGTTCAGTGACTCATAAATACAGCCAGTTGCTTTACTGAATAAACGAATGACTCGCTTGTTAAGAAGACCGTCACTTACCGCCCCCTACTGGCAGTGTTAGTTTAATATTTCAAAGTATCACTTCGTTTTTACCATTGCATATTGCTCTATTGAAAACCTGCTCAGACAAGATGATTGTGCCCAAAAATCACATTTGTGAAAGGAAAGCGTAAACTGTCCGTTTTCATGATGGTGATACTGTGAGGTTGTCGGTTCTCCACATGCTCAGGTCTGTATAGAGAAGATGCAGGACCTCCAGCTGGCTCTGGTCATCTGTCGACTGTACGAGTCGGAGTTCGAGATGTCCTGCACCTACAAACGGATCCTGCAGAGGCACGTGTTGGGTTATGACCACCAGATGGCGCCGCACCAGGACCCGTTCTTGCGCAGCATGGCATTCTGGGTATTAGACGACTACAGCAGGGCACTGGACACTCTGCTGGAGCAGCCCAATGAAGGTGAGACCTGAGACCGATGACATCAGAGTCCGGTTCTGTGTGAACGCACGGGTCAGGGTTCGGTTCATGGGGATTTAAGTACAAATCGTAATTTGTTGTGTGAGAACACACTGGCCTGATTTGATTGCGTCTGCTTGTTAAACTGCAAAAAAATATTTTCTTAAAGGGGACGTCTGACTTTAAGTGATGAGCAAATGAAGACAGAAGCCCAACTACGCCTTTAATCGGCTGATAAACACAGATTTAATCTGCGCTGACGAGTATAAACGTGCAAACGGACACACACAAAGGCCACGCTCATTTGACCAGAATCTGCTTCCTCTGCAAATGTCACATGTCGGGGCGAGCGCACGTCACACGAGCGTCACGTTCAGGGGTTATTCGCTCGCTACGATACTGAACGATTACGACACCAGCAAAAACAAAGAGAAACATTCAGTATCAAATCAGTGTAGAAGAAGCAGGAGAGGAACACACACCTGTAACTGTGATCTGAGTGTAGGTCTACCGACCCAGAAAACACGAACACTGAAACCCAGTAACTGTGTTCTGGTGAGTCTCTCTCTGAGAGCATGTCATGAAATAAGCCGATCAGATTTCGCTCCTTCTGGCGTATGACGAGGTTTTTGCTCACACCCAAAAAGAGGCCAGTTTGACGAGCTGTAATAAATGAACTGATATTTTGAGCTGAAATTTCACAAGGCAAGTTTATTTATATAGCACATTTCATACACAATGGCATTTTAAAGTACTTTACATAGAAGAAATTAAAATAATCAAATCAGAATAATTAAAACAGTTTAGAATAAAATAATAATAATAATAAAATACTGTAAATTATTAAAACAATTGAGAATCAAAAATAAAATGAAGTGCAGTAACAATGAAGTTCACACACACATTCTGTAGATTTATATCACATCTTGTGAAAATAGGCATACTATGTCACATGTAAGTAATTTTGCATCTCTATTAAATGTATCCAAACGTGTGATATTTTACTGAAAAAAACTGCTTTATACCAAGACTTGTTTAGAAAATGTTTTGTAGTGTATAGATCCCGCAGAGAAAAACCATTGAATGTCGATATAGCCTTCCGAGATATTCGGCAGATATTAGTTCTTGTTTCAAGCGCAAACTCGCTTCATTTTAATACATATTTCTAGGGCTGGATATTGAGACAAATTTCACAATTCGATTTGATTTCGATTACGATTCAATATTGATTATTTTGGATATCAGTTCCAATAAATGGCCATTTTTCTTAAGGGAATCAAATCTCTTAAATGCTGTAAACTATGGGAGTCTAGTTGTAGCCTATAGGCTTCATTAGCCTAATATGAAGGTAATAATCAACTGTTTTGTAGCTATACAAACACTCAAATTACACTTTTATTTATTTTTATAATAAGAAGATTATATGAAATATAAACATTTAAATGGTGGCTGTCATAAAAACTAGCCAGATTTATTCAAATATGCATTAAATATTGAAGAACATTAAGATTATAATGCATATGTAATATGGTGTATATATTTAGTAAAATGCTCCTCTCTAGAGTTATTTTTTCTAGCTGACTAACGAGTTGATGTGGGTTTTCTGAGGTAAATATGACGATACATTGATTACAAGCTGTTTAACTGACGTCTTTCCACGGTTGAAACGCTGATAGAGTGAATTTAATGTGACATGATCCGGATTTGGATAAGTTGTACTGTATCTTTAACACACTTTCAGATGCTCATTCATGTTTATTTGGCGCTGTGACTGGTATTATTAAGCCGAGAGAGGAGAGAGCTTCTCCAGAGCGATCTCACGCCACAGCGACAAAACGCTATTTATGTTTTTGAATTTCTAAAGAAAATGGACGTAATTTGAAAATTGAGACTTTGTTTCATATCAATAGTAACAAAGGACAAAGATTATTGCGATTTTTTTTTTTCTTTTTTTTTTTTTTTTTTTTTTTGGATGCGCGCAGCCGCGATACAATGTCCCAGTCATTCAAATGAAACAGGATGACTAATCGATTCTTGAGATTTAAGAATCGATATCGGTTCATAAAAATGAGAATCGATTAATATCGAGAAATCAATTTTTATTACCCAGCCCTACATATTTCAGAATATACGATTTGAAGTAATTTTGCATCTCTAGTCAGGTATTTTACTCAAAACTTATTTAAAAAATGTTTCGCAGTCCGCAGGGAAAAAGATAAATGAAACTATAGTAATGGCAAGAGGTCTGTCCTCGTCATGTGACGTGACTGACTCGAGTCGATCTGTTTCAGGCGCCGCCGGCTCGTCTCCCTGTAACCCTGAGGTGTTTAACTTCTACACGTTCCTGCGCTCGCACCCGCTGCTCCTGCGCCGCCACTTCGGCTCCTCCGAGAAGCCTGGCGTGTGTCTGCCGGTCGAGGGGCGCGAGGTCGACTCCATCAGCCTCACCGAGAGACGGCTGTTCTTCAGCGCCGCGCACACACACCTGCAGGCCGGCTGCCCCATGCTGGCGCTCGAGGTGCTCTCCAAAATGCCCAAAGTGGTGAAGCGCTCGAAGGCGCGAGAGAACCGGCCCGTGTCGTGGAGCTCGTCCGACGGCCTGGAGAAGCAGGACTGGTCTCAGCCGGTCCTCAACGGCTTCCAGTCGGTGTCCTCGCTCTCGTCTCCCAGAGAGGACAGTCATTCGGACTCGGTTCTGAGCTTTGACTGGAGCCAGCCCTCCCTCGCCCTGCAGGACGAGCCTCTGGAGATGAAGTGGGACTCGGACGAGTCGGACGTGGAAGAGTCGGGCCTGGCCATGAAGACCGTTCGCCCGGAGACCAGCGGAGACGCTCCGGTAGGCCGGCACAATCAGTCGGGTTTATAATCGCATCCAAAATAAGAGTTTGTGTTTACATAATGTATGTGTGTGTGCTGTTTATAACTATTTTGTATTGATAAATACACACACATGCATGGATATGTTTAAGAAAAAATGTTATTTATAAAATACAATAATGTATAAATATACATACAGTATGTACATGCAAATATATTTTAAATATATACTTGCATATGTGTGTCTTTTTTTCAACACAAAATAGTTATACACAGCACACACGCTTATATTGGATGCGATTAATCATTGCCCAGCACTTGTGATAACCGTAATTAATAATCGGAATTACAATCTCAAGGGAATAATCAAGTCATCTTCATTTTTGCAGCACTTTTAACCGTGTAGATTGATCCACCGCAGCAGCTTTTTGTTTTGGGTTTACAGCAGATCTAGAATAAGGTTATTGTCCAGATAAAGTTGTGATTTTGTGGCACTCGTGCAGGTCTTGGCCTCCACCCCGACGGACCGTGGCGATCCTCCCGCCCTGACCGAGGACATCCTCGCGGCCCGGCTGAAGTTCAGCTCCTGCCTGAAGATCCTGAGCTCGGAGTTACGGACTCTCTCCACGGGCTACGAGCTGGACGGAGGGAAGCTGAGGCATCAGCTGTGCCACTGGCTGGAGCGTGAGGTGTCGGCCCTGCAGGGCGTCTGCGGGTACAACCCGTTCCTCCAGACCCCGCCCGAGGGCATCTCCTCGGACCCGAGCCGGCGGGAGGATCCGGGTCGGGAGGACCAGCGCCGGCGGAGGCTGTGGCTGAAGAGGAACCAGCCCTTGCTCCGCATCTTCCTCAGTTACTGCAGTCTCCACGGCTCTCACGGAGGAGGACTGGCCTCCGTCAGGATGGAGCTCATTCTGCTCCTGCAGGAGTCCCAGCAGGTAACAGGGTTTAAAGGGGTAGTTCACCCAAAAATTAAATTAGCCTATGATTTACTACCCCTCTAGCCATCCTAGAGTATTAGACACTCTTCTTTCAGACGAACACAATCAGAGTTATATTATTAATGTCCTGGCTCCTAGCTTTATAATGGCAGTGAATGGCTGTTTCTGTTAAGTCCCTAAAAGTGCATCTGTCCATCATAAAAGTGCATCTGTCCATCATAAAAGTGCAGCTATCATCATAAAAGTGCATCTGTCCATCATAAAAGTGCATCTGTCCATCATAAAAGTGCATCTATCCATCATAAAAGTGCATCTGTCCATCATAAAAGTGCATCTGTCCATCATAAAAGTGCATCTGTCCATCATAAAAGTGCATCTGTCCATCATAAAAGTGCATCTGTCCATCATAAAAGTGCATCTATCCATCATAAAAGTGCATCTGTCCATCATAAAAGTGCATCTGTCCATCATAAAAGTGCATCTGTCCATCATAAAAGTGCATCTATCCATCATAAAAGTGCATCTATCCATCATAAAAGTGCATCTGTCCATCATAAAAGTGCATCTATCCATCATAAAAGTGCATCTATCCATCATAAAAGTGCATCTATCCATCATAAAAGTGCATCTGTCCATCATAAAAGTGCATCTATCCATCATAAAAGTGCATCTGTCCATCATAAAAGTGCATCTGTTCATCATAAAAGTGCATCTATCCATCATAAAAGTGCATCTATCCATCATAAAAGTGCATCTTTCCATCATAAAAGTGCATCTGTCCATCATAAAAGTGCATCTATCATCATAAAAGTGCATCTATCATCATAAAAGTGCATCTATCCATCATAAAAGTGCATCTGTCCATCATAAAAGTGCATCTATCATCATAAAAGTGCATCTGTCCATCATAAAAGTGCATCTATCCATCATAAAAGTGCATCTGTCCATCATAAAAGTGCATCTGTTCATCATAAAAGTGCATCTATCCATCATAAAAGTGCATCTGTCCATCATAAAAGTGCATCTGTCCATCATAAAAGTGCATCTATCATCATAAAAGTGCATCTGTCCATCATAAAAGTGCATCTATCCATCATAAAAGTGCATCTGTCCATCATAAAAGTGCATCTGTGCATCATAAAAGTGCATCTATCCATCATAAAAGTGCATCTTTCCATCATAAAAGTGCATCTTTCCATCATAAAAGTACATCTGTCCATCATAAAAGTGCATCTATCATCATAAAAGTGCATCTATCCATCATAAAAGTGCATCTGTCCATCATAAAAGTGCATCTATCCATCATAAAAGTGCATCTATCCATCATAAAAGTGCATCTATCATCATAAAAGTGCATCTGTCCATCATAAAAGTGCATCTGTCCATCATAAAAGTGCATCTATCCATCATAAAAGTTTAACAGTTTTGAATGATGTATAAAACTTGCCTGTACAACAAAAATAGACAAAGTTATTTGAATGCATTGATAAGAAAGGCCGACCCCGAGGGTCAAACGTGTGTTGGCCTGGGTTGAAACTGCACGAAAACTAAAGCCAAAACTCCTCTGCGGTTTGTCTGTTTGTCTCATCAGGACGATGGTCTGCAGATCTCTGTTCCCGCTCCGCAGAACGTCTCTGTTCCTCTTCTTCTTGCATGGACCGCCAACTCCAAAACTGTGGTGGCCAATCCCATAGTGCACCTCACCAATCTGACCCATGACCTCCTGCATACGATCAACGCCCTCGACGCGCCTCCGCACCCGGACGTCGTCAACAACGAGGTAAAGGCAGATCAGTCTCCAGCACAAACATCTAAATATTCCTAAATCAAGACACATTTACTGGAGAAGAAAAATGAAGTGTGTGTGCTTCTTAAAGGTACAGTGTGTAATCTAGCGGCATCTAGTGGCAAGGCGGCCGACAGGAAGTGATGTCGTCGTCTGAGACAGCAGAGAGTAGCCAGTTAAACAATGAGGTTTCATTACAAAGATAAATGAATAAATTAGGTTTACTTGATTATTCAGTAAAACGATGTTATTGCGAATGTTATTGTTGCTTGACCATCATTGTGTCAGTGTTTTACTTGCTTATTAATATCACACACTGCACCTTTATTAATATCACACACTGCACCTTTATTAATATCACACACTGCGCCTTTATTAATATCACACACTGCACCTTTATTAATATCACACACTGCACCTTTATTAATATCACACACTGCGCCTTTATTAATATCACACACTGCACCTTTATTAATATCACACACTGCACCTTTATTAATATCACACACTGCACCTTTATTAATATCACACACTGCGCCTTTATTAATATCACACACTGCACCTTTATTAATATCACACACTGCACCTTTATTAATATCACACACTGCGCCTTTATTAATATCACACACTGCACCTTTATTAATATCACACACTGCACCTTTAAAAGAAGAACAAATATCTGCCAATAGAGTCAGAAATATGATCTGAACTCAAAGGCAAAGCCAGATTGTTTGTGGTGTGCAGCGCTGAGGAAGAGTGTGATGAATGACGTGTTGTTACTGTGATGATCCTGTAACTCGTCTTCCTCTGCTGCAGATCTTCGTGATGCACACGCTGGCAGCTTCTCTGTCGGCCTGCATCTACCAGTGTCTCTGCGACGGACACAGTTACAGGTGTGTGTTCCTCTCCTGCTTCTTCTACACTGATTTGTTACTGAATGTTTCTCTTTGTTTTTGCTGGTGTCGTAATCGTTCAGTCTCGTAGCGAGCGAATAACCCCTGAACGTGACGCTCGTGTGACGTGCGCTCGCCCCGACATGTGACATTTGCAGAGGAAGCAGATTCTGGTCAAATGAGCGTGGCCTTTGTGTGTGTCCGTTTGCACATTTATACTCGTCAGTGCAGATTAAATCTGTGTTTATCAGCCGATTAAAGGCGTAGTTGGGCTTCTGTCTTCATTTACTCTCGTCTCAGACCCACTCGGCTTTCTTTCTCCAGACAGAGAATTGTCCAGGAGGAGCGAAAGCGATTTAAAAGATTCAAGTCTATTCACATTTATTTGTATAGCGCTTTTCACAATACACATCGATTCAAAGCAGCTTTACAGAAAATCCATCCAAAAGATGCAGGTTTCTTTTATTTAGTAATGAAATGAAAAAAATGCATATTAAACATCTTATTGGGATCAATTCATCCCTGCATGTTTTAGTTTTCAATAATGTTTAATCAGAATCTATAGAAGCCCATTTCCAGCACATAATAAAAAAATCCGGCTTGGGTAAATCTTTCTTATGACATAAAATGTCTAAATGATGTCAAATTCAAAATAATGAGATGAATTATATATTGGAAATGAGTGAGAGTTTCCTCTAGTGGAAGCATGTGGAACTGCAGCCGAACACACACACACACACACACACACACACTGAACGAGTCGTGTTTGAGAAGAGATCAAACTTCTAAAGCGTTCTAGATTTACCAGTTTAATTTCAGCTCTATGCTCAAAACGTGAATAAATGGATTATAAATACAGCGTAAATATAATGTAGTATAATAAAAATGTAATATTACATTAAAAACATCAATCTAAAATATAGTACATTCATTTCATCGAGCAGTGCCTGTTCGATCATGTTTGATTGTTTCTGATATCTGTTTTTCCTCAGCCATGTAAACCCGTTCACGGGCATCACGTACCAGAGCGTCCTGATTACCCATCAGCCCCCGGTGCGGAGTGTCAGCATGGAGGAGCCCGTCCTGCCCAACACTGCTCCTGCCCAGTGGCCCGGTAAAGCCCAGTCTCTGTGACCTCTGACCCGGAGTGATCTCTGTGTGTGTGTGTGAGTGTCTGACCGGCATCACGTGACCCCAGACTGATCTGTGTGTGTGTGTGTGTGCAGGAGTGAGCGTGCTGATGCGTCTGCTGGAATCGTCCTGTGACGAGAGTCAGCCCGGTCTCTCGGTGCTCCTGTGTGAGATCCTGAGCGCCGTGTTCCTCAGCCTGTTCGTCCACGGCTTGGCCACACACTCCACACACGAGCTGCTCCGCATCGTCGCACACCCGCTCAACGCTAAGCTCTGGGTCGCCGTGTTCGGCGGCGGCGCTCGAGTTCCCGTGCCGGAGAAACCCACATCACCCACAGGTGCGGCTCTCTTTGTCTCCATTAAAGGGGTAGATCACCCAAAGATTTAAATCAGCCCATGATTTACTCACCCTCCAGTCATCAGACAAACACAGAGTTGTATTGAAATATGTCCTTGCTCTTCCAGGACATTCTCTGATACAATCTGTATTGTAAAAAGCTCTATATAAATAAAGGTGACTTGACTTGAAAGTCCATAAAGTGCATCTGTCCATCATCAGTTATTAATATAACTCTGATTGTGTTCGTCTGAAAGAAGAGTCTCATTTACACTCGGATAAATGGAGTGATTCTGAATTGAAATGAGTCGTCAGTAATTCAATTCATTTCCTCTGGTCTTGATTGGCTGAACAGTGTCTCTTAGCTCCGCCCTCAATCACTGTAGTGTATCTGAGACTGGGAGAGTTCGGCTCGTGTTCGTGTCGAGGAGACGCTGTTCTGATTCCTGAAGGGAAGAATTATCAACTGAAGAAGCCCAGATGGCGATGATCACGTTCTGAAAGTGTTTTGCTGTGTTGCTCGCTGCAGCTGCTGACCCTGGTGACCCCGTGGAGGATGCGGAGCGCAAGCAGAGGCGCTTCAGGATTCCCTCGTCCCGCAGTAACTCCAGAGACGCTCCCGCGAGTCCCCGACCCGCCGCGCAGCCGCTAGCACCCGTCTTCAGGGAGCGCTTCATCCCGCCGGAGCTCAGCATCTGGGACTACTTCATCGCTAAGGTGTGTGTGCTTCCTGTAATCTGACATCTTAGACATGTTTTCATTAGGGAAGATTTGGCCTCATTAAAATCCAATATGTGTTAATTTAAGTGACATTTTTAAGATTTATTTGTGTGTGTGTGAAGCCGTACCTGCCGCCGTCCGCCAGCCGAGTGGAATACGACTCTGAGGAAAGCCAAGGCAGTGAGGATGAGGATGAGGATGAGGATGAAGGAGATTGTTTCGATGTCAGCTCTCCACTGGCAGAACACTCCAACAGTAACTCGTACAGGTGAGCTGAGACTCATGGGATGATGTGATGATGATGATGATGATGATGTGACGCTATTTTCTCCTAGAAACACACAGTGTTGCATTATTCTCCTGTTATCTCTGTTCCTGTGATGATGATGTGATGATGTTGTTCCTGTGCAGCTGGTGTCTGATGCGATTGGCTATGGTGCAGATGGTGCAGTTCAACCTCAAGACCTTCTACCCAACGACAGGTCACGACCTCTTGGGTAATGAGACTCGAACTCAACACACATGCATGAATGAGAACAGGACGTGATGCGGATGATGCTAAAAACGGTTATTAAAGGGACAGTTCACCCAAAACTGAAAACGACCCCATGGTTTACTCTGTCTCGTATATGACACTGGTCTAGCAGACGAACTCAGTCTGAGTTATAATAAACATCAGCAGTGCGTCACATTACTCGCAGAGGTCGAGCTGTACACTCCAGTGGAGTCCGGATTAGGGCTGTAGTCAACCAAAGAAATCCTTAGTCGACCAAAGTCTTGTCCTGCGCAACGATTAATCGACTAAAAAAAAAAAAAAAACGTGATGTTTTGATTAAACATTTTTTAAACAATTGTCATTGAGCATTTAAAAAACAACAACGAAAAAACATCACAAATAAATAAAACTATAATACTAATACAATTCTTTAAAAATTAAGTGATTTTTTAACTGCAAAAAGTGAAGAGCTGTGTCCTCGGTCCAATCGCACACCTGACCACACCACAAGCTGCAAAACATATAACCGCTATCTGCCACATCATGAAAAATCCCAACAAAACTCTCGTTTATACAGGCTTTATATTCTTCTTTACTTTCACAGCTATGGGTTAACTTTCGTCCTGACGATCAAGGCGTTTTAAACAACACACAAAAAACCCAAATAACTTAAACAATCCTAGGACCGCGTATAGGTTTATTTTCGTTTTGTTGCATTATTTAGGCTATTTTCAAATGCGTCAAGTGTACAAATAAAAACGAAAACATTAAGAAAACACAATCTATTGAGTCAGCAGGATATAGCCGTTAAAAGGCTGCTCACGTCTTTTGCGCGCTCAAGTTCGATTTCAAATGTAGGCGAGTGACTTGCGCGCTCATAATGGAGCAACGCGATCGCCTCCCTCCACAGTCTCGTCGTCTTCGTTTTAAAATGCAGCCAGACAAAAGATTTAGATTTCCTGGACATTTTGTCGACTAAAACCAAAACAAGCAGCGTTCTAACTGAATGAATACAGCATCCCTTACCGAGCGCGAGCAGCAGCGCAGCCGACACAGGTGCGGCTCCCGAGTGTGTTATGTGTGTGCTCTACAAAAATAGCCTCAATTAAAGCATTTTAAAGTTGGGGACAAAACATAGGCTAATTATATTTAGAATACAGTAATAAATAACTGCTTATAAAGGAATAAATATCAAGGAGGAAATCATTGAAAAATTCTTTCTATTGGTAAAAAAAAAAAAAATGCAACTGGTCGACCAATAAGAATGTCAGTCGACCAAGACGGCATCGACCGATTAGTTGAATAAACGACCGCCCTAGTCCGGATGTTCACTTGGCTGGAAGCTGGTTTTGCCATTATAAAGCTGGGCTGAGCCAGGACATGTTTCATATAACTCAGGTTGTGTTGGTCTGATAGAAGAGGGTCTTACACACACACACACCTAGGACGGCTTCAGGGTGACACCTGGTCAGTTTTGGATGAACTATCCCTTTAAACACACAATAATCCATGATAATATTAGGAGTTACCGTTCTTTACTCTGTAGCGTAAACAATCTTCCAAATGATGTGCAATTTCCTATATATTATATATATATGTGTGTGTGTGTGTGTCAGATCTGCCCGTGTGCTCTCCGCTGTGTCACGCGGCTCTGAAGACGCTCCAGCGATGGGAGACGCTGCTCCTCAAGAGGCTGGAGATCTTCGGAGGTCCTCCGCCAAAGTTCATCTCCTCGCAGCTGCTGGACGAGAGTGTGTCGTCGGGTCCGGCGCTCCTGCGGCACAAGGCCCTGTTCGAGCCCTCAAACACACCCTTCAGGTACGGGACGCAGCGCACGTGTGTGTTCGCGCTCGAGTAATCGCAATGATACCGCACACAGGCTGTGATCACGTACACACACACACCACAGATGTGTTTCTGCGCTCAGGTCCCGCCGGCGCTCGGCTCTGCCCGTGAAGCGACTCTGGCAGTATCTGGTCAAACAGGAAGAGGTTCAGGAAACCTTCATACGAAACATCTTCACGAAGAAACGAGATCTGAATGAGGTATTTGTGCTCGACCCTTTTTCCCAGAATGCCCCTGTTCCCCGTTGCCTGCTGGTCGTCTTCGTAACGATCACTGGAGTCTGTAATGTCATTAATATTTGTTAACGTGTGTGATTAACCGTCTGTGATGTGTGTGTGTGTGTGTGTGATTGCTCTGCATGTTCATCGTAACTCTCGAATCAGGAGACTGACAGTGCGCTGCTGGATTCCACACACAACCAGGTATCTGACAGAGATATCCCAGTAATCCTCATCCAGTCATGTGATCTGTGACCAAGGTTTTCACACCGATAGATCGCTTGATTTGTTCTGAAACGGGGATGTTTTCACAAGGCAACCTTTCACTGCACTTTTCAGTATTTGTGTCTGATTTCCTGTCCACATATCAAACATTTCTTAAATCAAGATCCATTTACTAGATGAGTAAAAATCAGATATTATGTCCTGTTTTTGGCGGAATTAATGAAAATGAAGCGAGGAACACACACTCCAGTGTGAAAGCGCCCTCAGACGCGGTCACATGAGCTGTGCTGTGATTGGCAATAACATCATATACTGTAATGATAGAAATGAACATTACTGCTGGGATACGTGACCTTCAACCCTGAAGACCTTAAGACTGTCGGTGTGTCCCAATTCACACTCTTATGCACTATTCTATTGTATGCCATTTTGTAATATAAATAGTGCGATTAGTACGAAATTATGCACTTATTTAACCCCCCCCCCCCCCCCCCCCCAAAAAAAAAAAGTTTGGTGGGGTCATGCACTTGATAAACTTAAACACTCAAAATAACATTATAAAACTCTAGATGGGAGAGTGCATAGTGTATAGTGCACCATTTGGGACACACCTACTGTAGTTTGACCAGTTTCATTATTAAAAAATTCTGAGATCTATATTCACATTCCAGACTCTATAAAAATACCACCTATAATATTCGACAGGCGATTTTCAGGCTATTTTAATTTGATTTATTGTATGTGAAATGTAAGCAATCCAGTTGATCTTCGGCCCCTAAGAAGGCTTTGAATTGGTCAGTTCAACATGCTTGCTTGTTTTTGTTCATCAGTCTTGCTGTCATGTGACTGATTTCTGACCAGTCTTTGTCTACATTGTAAGTCTAGTCTAAGCTGTTTATGCAAATCGGCCACTGGTCAGAAATTTGTCGACCCAAAATTCAATGTCTGAGACGCATGAGGACACGGAGTCCTGACCTAGATTAGTCCTGCTTGTTCATCTGGGTGTAAGAGGTCATGTTCTGCAGCTCGCAGACGTAATGTTCCTGCGTTTAAAGCTTGATCTGCATTGTTGCACAGATTATTTGAGGATTTATTCTCCTCCAGCAGTGGCTCGTGACCGAACGGCCGTTTAAAGAGTCCATATAGGGGTCGTCGGATGCCCAGTGTCCTCGTGTTGGTGTGATCGTTTAGGGTGTTCATGTAAAGTTTGTGACATACTTTGGTTAAAATTCCTCAATGTTTGTGTAAAACAACACACTCTTTACCTCCTCAAACACACATCCGTCCCGGTGCATGTCTCTTTAAATGATAATGAGCACCTCGTGTCCACACACATCCATATGCAAACACCATATAAAAGTGAATTTTGGCTAAACACGTGACTCTGAGATGTGATAGATGAGGTCATTCTAGTGTTCATTTCCTCCCCTACTTCTACATTTAGTTTTAGTCAAATGTACGTTTTAGTTTTTATCATATTTAGTCAGCTCTGTTTTCATTCAGTCAAGTTTTATTTGATTAAAGCCTGGGCTTTTTAGTCTAGATTTAGTCAATGAAAATGAATATTTTTGTCATGTTTGTACATTTAGTCTTGTCTGTTTTGGTCAGCGATACTGCATGTTGATATAGTCAGAGTTACTGTCGTCTCGTCATGGAAGAAAAGGTCAATGTGTGTGTGTGTCCGTCTGCCTCCTCCCGCAGATCGAGGCGGATCTGGGATATCCTGGAGGAAAAGCTCGCATCATCCACAAGGAGTCTGACATCATCACGGCGTTCGCCATCAATAAGGTGCACGTTTGACCCCTGACCTCTGAAGTATAAAGAGACTCTCAGAGTAAAACTCTGAAAAATATTTTACACCAGATGAGAAGTTTATCTATGTATCGATCATCTTTTTACTCTTTTATATCTGTTTTGCTTTTATGTTGTGATTATTTTAATTCCGTTTCTGTGTAAAGCACTTTGAGTTGCCGTCGTGTGTGAACTGGCCTTGGCTTTGTGTTCCAGGCCAATCGCAACTGTTTAGTGATCGCCTCCACACACGACATCCAGGAGCTGGACGTGTCGTCCATCCTCGCCACACAGGTGCTCACGTGGATCGACGACGAGGCGGAGGCCGAGGTCAAAGGGTGATTCGATTCGATTCAATCCACATTTACTGTATTTGTATAGCGCTTTCACAATACACATCATTTCAAAGCAGCTTTACAGAAAGGGCACGAGTGATCGGTTATCAGAGGAAACGAAGCTATGCACTTCAGAAATGCACATACAAAAATCACACTTAGATAATGAATACTTGAAAGGGTCAAAGTGTGAGACGCATGTCATGTGATCATTCACACACTTTTGGTGAGTTTTCTAAATGGCCTGATGAGTTGTGGTTCAGGTGTGAGTTCAGCTTGTGTTGTGTGCAGGACGGATGACTTCCTGGTGGTTCACGCGCGGGACGACATCAGCACGCACAGCAGCACGCCGTACACACACAGCAGCCCCGGGACGCCCATCAACATGCCCTGGCTGGGCGGCCTGCAGACGGGCAGAGGAGCCGCCGTGGTGAGCGCTGATCATCGACAAAGAATTTTGGGATTATTTTTGTCAAACACATTTTTTTCACAGACGAAAACGAGACGATGACTAAAAATGACAAAATGAATGACAAAAACTACGACGAATTTGAGATTTATGTCAACGAATAAAAACAGACGAAAACCAGATTATCAGCAAATAAAAACTATGAAGGAAATCTATTGAGATTTTTGTCAATGAATAAAAACTGATGAAAATCGGTTGACATTTTCATCAACTAATAAAAACTATGATGGAAATCTATTGACATTTTCGTCAACGAATAAAAACTGACTAAAATCGCTTGACATTTTCGTCAAGAATAAAAACTATGATGGAAATCCATTGACATTTTTGGTCATCTAATAAAAACTGACTAAAATCGCTTGACATTTTTATCAACTAATTAAAACTATGATGGTAATCCATTGACATTTTCGTCAAGAATAAAAACTGACGGAAATCTATTGACGTTTTCGTCAACGAATGAAAATGGACAATTTTTGTCAGCGAATAAAAACTAAGATGAAAATGTATTGACTTTTTCGTGAACGAATAAAAATTTTAGTCGACTAAAATCTTATTGTATTTTCTAGACTAAAACAAAAACAATTCAAATGAGTAAAACTAAATTGTATTTTAGTAAAACGTTTTGCCACTGCCCGGCGCTCTAAACCCGTACATCTGATCTCTTGCGCTTTTCTGTTTCCGCAGCTCATCAAGCGAAACATTAACAACGTGAGACGGATGACATCACACCCCACACTCCCCTACTGTGAGTAAGCGGCTCGTCTTCATCCGGTGTGATCCAGGTCTCACATGACCTCTGAAACACATGTTGAATTGCACTGATTGGGCTGAAATCCAACATGGCTGTATGTTTAACAGTTGAGAGTTTCATTATCAGAAGTTTAGTGATTTATACTCTAATTTCCAGAATATTCAGACTTGTTCGGAGAGGTTCGTTCCATGGCTCCAGATGCCTGAACTTCTGAGATATCAACATCAGATTTTGCTCAGATACAAACTTGATTGTATGACCTTTCATAGATGCATTGTAATAGTCATCATGTCAAGCTTGAATAGGAACAAAAATGACGGGGAAAAACATGCATTTCATTTTCTGCTGTTGAAGTCTCCAAATCCATCTTTTCTTTGAAAGGTTTTCTAGTCATCAAATGAGATCAGGGAAAATAAAAGCCTTCCCTTTAAGGGTGGAATAATGAAATAGTCTTCAGGGTGTGAGGGGTTAATATCCAGCTCTGTTTGTGACCCCGGACCACAGAGCAGTCTCGAGTCACACGGGTGTTTCTGTGGCTCTATAGTTGCATCATAACAAAACCATACTTCAGGTTTTCAGATGATGTATAAATATCAATTTCAAAAATTGACCCATGTGACTTTTTTAACATGTTTTGTGGTCCAGGGTCACATTTGTAGTTTGTTTACTGTGTTTTGTTGTGTGTGTGTGTGTGTGTAGACCTGACGGGGGCTCAGGACGGGAGCGTGCGCATGTTCGAGTGGGGTCACTCGCAGCAGATCACCTGCTTCAGGAGTCCCGGGAACACCAGGGTCACCAGAATACGCTTCAATTACCAGGGCAATAAGGTGCGTCACCCCAAACACAGCACACACACCGAGCGAGAGAGCGGCGTGTGTTAACCAGCTCTTCTGTGTGTGTGTGTTTCAGTTTGGGATCGTGGATGCGGATGGAGCGCTCAGCCTATGGCAGACCAGCACTTCAGGACAACCACACAAACCCTATCTGGTATATCACACCGCATCACTTCCTGTTCACTGCGATCACCTGTGGATCCATAACTCTGTACACTAACACTCCTTCTGTTGGACTCTCACACATGAATTATGTTGAATATCTGTCAGCTGTTCAATTGAACTCCACAATCAGATAACAGCAGTTTAGCTCAAGCAATGCTTCATGTTGTTCAGTGTGTGTGTAAAAAGAGCAGAAAACACACTTCAGCTCAAAGTGGAGGAATCATTGTTACTGTAGTCACTGGATGAAGAAGATTTGGCTGGAATATGGCACACTTTACTTTATTTTGCTCTCCTCACTTACACAAATCAACTATAGTGTCCTGAACACACTAGTGGAACATATCAACATCATATCTGGCATCTGAATCATGTGCGGTTTGATGTTGTATTTATGTGTGTGTGTGTGTGTGTGTGTGTGTGAGCAGCTCTCTCTGATGCGCAGTGTTTTCCTTGTTTTCCTCCAGACACTTCAGTGTCACAATAAGACGGCGAACGACTTTGTGTTTGTGGGCTCGTCGTCTCTCATCGCCACCGCAGGCCTGTCGACAGACAACAGGTACGGATCCGAGGAGAGCCTGAGCCGAGCGGCACGGGGTCACGAGGGCATGATGATAATGTTGGCTTGAGAAACCTCTCTGTGTATTAGTCTACAGTCTACCTCTCCGTCCGTCTGGGAAAATTCGAGGATTAAAACTACTTCAAAATTATTTCAAACTTAAAGTTGAAAATCCAGCGTTTAATGTTGTTTATGTGTTTAATCCGCTTTAACACACACCGCATTGCTGAGTATTTCCTCCTTAAAACAAAAGACAGTCTCAAAAACACACTTTGAAATCGCTGGTGTTTCTGACGCCACAAACCACCTTGTAACCAATCAGATCAACGTGTGTGAGTCAACCAGTGGATCTCTGAGTGAGTGGAGGCGGGGCTCATTTGCATATTCATAAAACCACGCATACTAAATGAGGCGAGGGTGTTGAGTTACATTCAAGATATTTTAAGGAACAATGGAAAAAACATTTAAATATGTCATTTTGGTGATCAAAGATGAGTTTTAAGGGGTAAATCATTGACCACAGAGACTTCCTCAAGCCAACAGGGTTTTGTATTGACAAACTGACATCAGAGAATGTGTTCAATGTAGGGCTGGGTATTGACACAAATTTCACAATTCGATTCGATTTTGATTCACAAGCTTGCAATTCGATTTGATTTCGATTCAATATTGATTATTTTGACTATCAGTTCCAATAAATGGCCATTTTTCTCAAGGGAATCAAATCTCTTAAATGCTGTAAACTATGGGAGTCTAGTTGTAGCCTATAGACTTCATTAGCCTAATATGAAGGTAATAATGAACTGTTTTGTAGCTATACAAACACTTAAATTACACTTTTACTTATTTTTATAATAAGAAGATTATATGAAATATAAACATTTAAATGGTGGCTGTCATAAAAACTTGCCAGATTTATTCAAATATGCATTAAATATTGAAGAACATTAAGATTATAATGCATATGTAATATGGTGTATATATTTAGCAAAATGCTCCTCTCTAGAGTTATTTTTTCTAGATGACTAACGAGTTGATGTGGGTTTTCTGAGGTAAATATGACGATACATTGATTACAAGCTGTTTAACTGACGTCTTTCCACGGTTGAAACGCTGATTGAGTGAATCAATGTGACATGATCCGGATTTGGATAAGTTGTACTCTATCTTTAACACACTTTCAGATGCTCGTTCATGTTTATTTGGCGCTGTGACTGGTATTATTAAGCCGGAAGAGAGATCAGCGCTGCTGCTTCTCCAGAGCGATCTCACGCCACAGCGACAAAACGCTATTTATGTCTTTAAATTTCTAAAGAAAATGGACGTAATTTGAAAATTGAGACTTTGTTTCATATCAATAGTAACAAAGGACAAAGATTATTGCGATTTTATTGGATGTATCGCAGCCGCGATACAATGATCCATTCATTCAAATGAAACAGGATGACTAATCGATTCTTGAGATTTAAGAATCGATATCGGTTCGTAAAAATGAGAATTGATTAATATTGATATAATATTTATTACCCAGCCCTAGTTCAATTATTGAATATTAACTGCATATCTCAGGAGGTGTTTGCACAAATAAGTAGATGCTCCCATCCCAGAACTGCTGATTTCTTCCCGTTGCAGGAACGTGTGTCTGTGGGATACGCTGGTCACGCCGGCGCTCAGTCTGGTTCACGGTAAGCCATCGTCACACACACACACGTTCACACACTTAATCGCACTGAAACCGCACACAGGCTGTGATTATGTATATACACACACCACACATCCCCGCCGCAGACGTACCATAACACACTCCAGGAACTCCTTCTGAGTGTCACACACACTCTGTCTGAACTGACACGCTCTGATTAAACACACACATGTCTGTGTGAGAAGCGCATCATCATCTGAGGAGGACGAGCTCAACGGTCCTGATGAAGAGAGTTTGGAGGCGTTAGTAAATGTTGGACAAGAGGTTCATAAGTGCGTCTGATGGAAAGATGTTGCTTTATCAAACACACGTTATAGGCGACAGGAAGTCAGAGTGAGGCGTTTCCTGAGCCGCGCTTCACTGACACGCCGCACATTACTGATAATCACAGCCTTCGCCATTACTGGATCAAGATAAGCCGAATCGCTCTACATGTACATTGCGATGAATCGTGCAGCCCTGGTTCTTCAGTACGAGCGAGTAGATCTGAGTCGTGTGTGTGTGTGTGTGTGTGTGTGTGTGTGTGATCAGCCTTCAGCGTGCACGAGACGGGCTCCACGGTTCTGGCTCTGGCCTCTAAACAGCAGGTTCTGCTCAGCGGAGGGAGGAAGGGCTGGATCAGTGTTCTGGATCTGAGTCTGAAGGTCCAGCGCCAGAGTTTCCAGGCCCACGACTCGCCGGTCAAAGCGCTAGCTGTGGACAACACCGAGAGAAGCTTCATCAGCGGATCCGCCGAGGGCAACATCAAGGTCAGACTCGTCTGTTCACTCGCGGGAATAGAGCGCTGTGGGATATTAATATGATTCCTTTTACTCAATTTATATTAAAAGTGTTACGGGCCCACATCCAATACATTTTAAAAACAGTATTATCCTATACTAAACCTCACCTAATCTTGACTAATGATACTTCATTTCAAAGCTTACAATCTCTAGTTTCCATATTTGGTGATTGATTTTTGATTTTGATTTGATGATTTAATTTATCAATTTGCAACAAGAATATCTTCATACTCCTAAGGTGTGTTTAGACTTTTATTTTGAAATTGTGATAAACATGAAAAATCATGAAAGAGTTGAAAAGATAGCCTCCATTCAATTATTTTAGAAAAAAACTAAAATTTTAAACACAACCTATTGGGCTTTTTTTGTGCATTTTTAGAGTCGCCCAGGTTATGAAAATATATATTTTTTATAAAATATGAATTTTTTTTATTTTGTACATTTTCATAAACTCTTTAACGATCTTACGTCTATATTCCAAAGCATACTTGAATTACAATCATTTAAGTTCGAAATGTGCATTTCCATGTCTATTCAAAAAAAGGGGGGTGACGGTTAAGAGGTTAAAATTATATCTATTTATTTTAATACATTACTTGATTTTTGTTTTTATTTTAATATTTTTTTTATTTCAATCTGTTTTTATTATTAATTTTAATTTTATTATTTTTATTATTTACATTTTTTATATTTATTAATTTATAATACATTTTATTTAGTTTAACTGTATTTTATTATTTCTTCATCGTAATTTACATACATCATTTGAAAGCTTACAATCTCTAGTTTCTATATTTGGTGATTGATTTTTGATTTTGATTGATTTAATTTATCAATTTGCAACAAGAATATCTTCATACTCCTGGGGTGTGTTTAGACCTTTATTTTGAAATTGTGATAAACATGAAAAATCATGAAAGAAGGGTAGAAACCCTTTCAAAAGAGTTCAAAAGATAGCCTCCATTCAATGATTTTAGAAAAAAGGTCTGAATCAGTTAAAACACTTTTGGAAATGGAGGCGCCCTTATATGGGCCGTAATGGTTGTCATCTAGTGGATGCGTTCGGTACTGCACCCAAACTAAATCTTACTGAAAGCTCATTTTTTGAGATCTCAACCTAAAATTTTAAAAACAACCAATTCAGATTTTGTGCTTTGATTTTTTTTGTGCATTTTTAGAGTCGCCCAGGTTTTGAAAATATATATTTTATATGAAATATTGCAAATTTTTTTATTTTGTATGCTCCCGCAGGTGTGGAGCATGTCGACCCAGACGCTCCTGCACAGCTTCGCCAGCGAACACGCCAGACAGTCGCTCTTCCGCAACCTCGGCACGGGCGTTATGCAGATCGAGACGGCGCCGGCCAATCAGGTGTTCTCCTGCGGCGCCGACGGCACCATGAAGATGCGCGTTCTCCCCGACGCCACGAGCGCGTATGGCACCGCCAGGAACGACGTCAAGTTTATCATGTAGCACAATGACTTTCTTTGCACACGGTAAGGCAAGCAATACGAGAGAGAGACGCTGGCAGAACACACACACACACACACACACACACACGTGTCATCATGAGGGACGTCTTCAAGCACACTGCTAATCTGACACGTGTATATCTCAGTCGAGCCTTAACTAGCCCAGCTGTTGTGATCGTGCTCTAGCTAACTGTAGTGATAAGTGTCCTTATATTTCTACGACCTCTCGTCTGGCGTCAGTGTGTGTGTGTGTGTGTGTGGAACATATGGAAGGTATTGTACATTACTCTGATCAGCAGTATTTCGAGTGTGTGAGTCTGTAGATCCGCATCATTCCAGTGTAATTAACGAATCCAGAATCCAGATCACAGCAGCTTTTATTTCAGATGTACATATGAGAAATATAAAGCGTATTTATAATCATCATCGCAGCTTCTGCAGACGTTTGTTTTTAGGAACGTTGTTCAGGGTTTATTTTTAGGCTTTTCTTTGACCTGCGGTCTTCCTCCTTTTACCCGATGAGGTCGTTCTCTCCCCGTGATCCTGCTTTCTGACCTTTAACCTCTCAAATGTGAATATATACGCAAATGAATTTAATTTTATAACGAGTATGAAGAGACCTGTAATATACATGACTGTAAAGAGGAAATAAATGACTCAATGCAGCCTGTGCCTCGGGGTTTATTAATGATTGGGTGTGATTAGAAGCGTCAGTGGTTAATGAGCGGCGCTCGTTAGCGTTAGCGCTGGCGATGATCTCAGAGTTTGGCGTAGTCCTTCAGGACGGCCTCCAGCTTCTGGCTCAACATGACGTTCCCTTTGACCTTCAGCTTCCCGGAGAAGAAGGCCTGTGGAGAAACAGTGTTGGAGGAACTCTACTTTAGGAGAGTGTGTGTGTGTGTGTGTGTGTGTGTGTGTGTGTGTGTGTGTGTGTGTGTGTGTGTGTGTGTTTGTGTGTGTTTGTGTGTGTGTGTGTGTGTGTGTCCAGTACCTTCTGTGGGTTCAGTTTCCCCGTCACCACGTCCATGAAGTCCTGGTCCGCCACAGTGAAGGTCACGTCAGCTTGACCTCCGGTGACCCCTCGGGTCAGAGCGCCGTGACCCGTCTTCAGATCCAGCGCTGACAGAAACACACGTTAAAATGTCTTTTCTTTATTTGAACACACTTATTTCATTGAATTTTTACTTTTCAGTTTAATGTTATTTTATTATTCCTTGAATTTGTATTCAATGTTTTTTATTTGAACAATGTTTGTTTAGTTTTAATCTTATTTTTTTATTATTTAATTAAATGTTTTTAATACATTATTATTTTTAATATATATATATTCTGAATACATTATTTGTTCATTTTGATTTATTTAGTTCATTTATTTTTATTATTTGTTTAAATCTTACTTTTTATTTCTTGTTTTAATTATTTTAATATTTAATTTAGTTCATTATTTCTTTATTGTAATTCATTTTTATTTATTTTAATAAACTTATTCAATATATAACATGTCAATTTGTTTATTTAGTTTTAACTCTCTCTCACACACACACACACACACACACACACTCACTCCAGTGTCTGGCGCTCTCCCCGTCCTTCATGATCTCCCAGGCCAGAACTGCGTTGACCTTCTTCACCAGCTCCTGACCTTGACCTTTGACCCTGCGCTCAATCTCAGCAAACACCAGGTCGCTCTGCAGAACATTAGTCTGTGTGACAGAACATGAGCATCGTTCAGTCCTGTGAGTCTTTAACAGTGTGTGTGTGTGTGTGTGTGTGTGTGTACGTGCCTGTGGCGTCCCGCCGCTGACTGACGGCTCCACCGGTGCGTGTAAATCGATGTACGCTCCCGCCAGAACCACGGCTCCCGTCTCCTTGACCTGGAAAAGCAGCAGACATCAGAACCAGAGTTCAGCGGCGCACAGGATTCTGGGATAGGAGCGTTTGCTCACCGTACACTGGATGTGGATCCTGTTCTCCTGCTTCCACATCTCCGTCTGCAGAGCCTGTCCTGGAAACACCGGCTTCACGAAACGCACCTGAACACACACACACACATTAGAGTGATTTCTGAAGGGTCATGTGACACTGAAGACTGGAGTAATGATGCTGAAAATCACAGGAATAAATTACACTTTACTGTATATTCACATAGAGAACAGATGATTTACATAAAAAATAATATTTCACTGTTTTACTGTATTTATGATCAGATAAACGCAGCTTTGGTGAGCAGGAGAGACTCTTTCAGACACACTCAGTATCTCCCCGACCCCGAACTGTGGTGTGGTGTGGTGTGTGTGTGTGTGTGTGTGATAAAGCGTCAGGTCTCGCTGCTTTACCTTGATGGACTTGAATCTGGAAACATCATTTCCGGCGTAGCGCTTGAGAACGTGGCGAGCGGCGAAACCGAAGGAACACAAGCCGTGGAGGATCGGCGTCTGGAAGCCTGCGGGACAGAGTGTGTGAGTCTCATATCATCATCATCATCATATCTTATGGTGTTGGACTGCTCTAGATGTGTGTGTGTGTGTGTGTGTGTGTTTGCAGATGTGTGGACTGGAGCGCTACTGCATATTAATCTGGAATATCTTATTAATGCTGTACCTCCCAGAGCGGCGAAGCTGGGGTCGATGTGCAGCGGGTTCCAGTCTCCGCTCAGCCGGTACAGCGCCGCCTGCACACACACACACACACACTCGTTCAGTCACTGTGGATCGATTTCACCCATCCGTCCCTCACGCATTCTAAGCATGCGTCAAAACCGCCGCCATCTTGGAACAGGGGTCTTGTCATAGGAAGTAGCTAGGTAACTCTGCTATCTCTGCCTTTACTTCGAGTTCATTGATGGTGGCGGACTTTTGTGCAGCGTATGATGTTCACGGATGAAATCTGAACTAAGAAGAATGTTTTAAAAAAAAAAAATTAAAATTTTTTTTTTCTTTCTGGAATCAATGATAAATACATGTCTGACCGTTGGAACAAACCAAAAAAAACAAGAAAAATCGCATTCATGATGATTTATGGTGATTTTATTTGCGTTAGACCTGTGTCTGCTGCATTAAAGTGGAGGGGCTCCCCTGTTTCAAGATGGCGGCTCTATTGACGCATTCGTTCCAATGAACTGCCGTATCCAAGGTGACGTCTAGTGTATATGTCTATGACTCCAGATGGGCTTATATCTCTATATGGAGTAAATGAGCTGTTCCTCTGGGTCCTGAAGTCTCACACACACACACACACACACACACACATGTAGACAGGAGAACATCAGTTATGTTTTTAGCATGAAAGCGTGAGTGATGCGGCGAGACGTCACCTGATCTCGAGACGTTTGCTCCACGATCACGGCGTCAGCGGGTCTATCCGGAAGAGGAGCCGTGACCTGAACCAACACACACACACTGGGGAATCAATGCCTGTGTGTGACTGAGCGCAGCTTCAGTGTGTGTGTGTGTGTGTGTGTGTGACGTGATATTCACCACGGCCTTCTGGGACGTCCTCTTCCCACCGAACCCTCCAGCGCCGACCACGAACAACGAGAACTGATTATAACACACCAGCTCTGCACCACTGTACGTATGAACTGAAACACACACACACACACACACACACAGGTCAAACACGGAATGATTTTTTAAAGGCTTGAGCTTCAAAGGACGCTTTAAATTATTTTATTTTATAAAATAAAATCAGCCGATTTCCATTACAATAATATTTCACTGTTGTACTGTATTTTTGATCAGATAAACACAGCTTTAGTTTAGACTTTATTGCTGAACCCAAACATGTGTGTGTGTGTGTGTGTGTGTGTGTGTGTGTGTGTGATTCACACTGATGATGTTTCTCACCGTCGAGGAGAACGATCATCCCGGACCCTTTATCCAGAACATCTGCGACCACGGCCCGTGACGTCAGCGTCCCTGAGGAGACACACACCTTCAGCAACACATGAGGAGTGTGTGAGTGTGTGTGAGGAGAAGTGTGTGTGTGCTGATGATCACCTGATGTGGGCAGTGGTTTGAACACCTCCAGATATTGCTCTCCGTGCAGAAGCTGAAAGACACACACACTGATGACATCACTGAGGACACACACACTGATGACATCACTGAGGACACACACACTGATGACATCACTGAGGACACACACTGATGACATCACTGAGGACACACACACTCAATCAAAAGTTCAATATGGCGTACCACAAGGCTCAGCACTGGGACCGTTGCTGTTCACTCTGCACACACACACACACTCACCCTGCTGAAGTCGATCTGGAGGCCCGGGACGCTGCCGAGTTGGGTCATGGCGCTCTGGGCCACGATCACGCTGAATGTGGGCAGACAGCAGAAGTCCTGGGACCCCTCGTACAGGAAGCGCAGGTGATCCGGCTCTCCGGTGGACATTCCCACTCCCAGCGCGTACAGGATACAGTTCATGTGTGTGTAGGAGAAGCTGATCTCCGGGAGAGTGTGTCCCACGGCCTCCGACTGCAAAACACCACAGCACATCTCACTGGACCTGATTGAGAGCACTCATTCTTCAGACTCAATAGCGCGACCTTGTTTGTAAAAAAAAAAATTTTTTTTATCATTTGCCTGTTTATGCAAACTGCATACATGTTTACACAGGTGTGTATTTTTACTGAAAATTTTAACAATTTCCTTTAAGAAAACTTTTAAAACTGCAATTCTAAATCTCAGAGCTGTTATGTGTGTGTGTGTGTGTGTGTGTGTGTGTGTGTTAACAGGCTTTCATTCTGTTGGCAAGGCTTCAAAATTACATTTTTTACGGTGTCATTTTCTCAGATTTATAAAGTAAATTCTCCCTTGATTCCTGTTTTCTGAATTCCAATTGGATAAATAATGCAACTATAATTGTGTGTGTTGATGTTTCTCACAGGGTTAGTCGCTGCGGCTGCGGTCGGATTGGTTCCGATTCCTCGTCCAGAATCCACTTTGGACAGAACCTCCACCAGCGTCTGCAGAGACTCTTGAGGAACACACACACACACACAGATGTTCATTACAGCTGAGAACACCGGGAGCAGTCCGACAGGTACGGGTCCAGCACTGAACACTGCTTTCACCTCTGAGACAGGCACATGCTGAGCGTTCTCAGCGTTTGATTGGCTAACAGCTGTAGCGTGTGTGTGTGTGTGTGTGTGTGAGGTTACCCTGAATGCTGGCGGGTTTAGTGGCGTCAGTAAAGTCACAGATCTCGTTCCAAGAGTCTCTCACAGCCTCCGGCGTCATGATCTCGTTCTTCTGACGCACTGTTCGACCCAGAGTCCTCTCCCAGCGCACTACACACACACACACACACAAATCAGTACATGTGTGTGTGAGGACTAGTGATGATGTTAAGTCTAAACAGCTCTAAATATAGACGTGTATATGAGCAGATTATGTAAAGGATCTGCATAAAGGCGTTAGCGTGAGTCACGGGTCGATCCGAGGATCTGAAGCTGATCTTCTCCCACAGAGATCAGGAGTTTCACAGCTCAACTTACATTTCCCGATCCAGCCCGCGCCGACCTGAAACACACACACACACACACACAGCTGAAGAGTTTCATGCAGAAACACCAAGAACACTAGAGATGATGGATAAACTTTTCCATTTTCTAACATGTGTACAGTACGCAGATTGATCATGTGACGCACACCTCGAACAGGCCCCCGTTCTCCCGACACGACTCGTGACTCAACCAGAGCACCAGCGGCGCCACGTACTCCGCCTTCAGCGACTCCAGCAGATCTGAAGGAGCAGAGCGGTCAGTGCGCTCCACACACACACACACAATCATGACATCACTCACACCTGATGGCATCACTCACATCTCACTCTCACCTGATGGCATCACTCTCACCTCACTCACACCTGATGACGTCACTCTTGCGAAGGGCTGCACAATTAATCTCATTTCTAAACACGATTACGAATGCCACAATCACGTAATCGTTCAAAGCCACGATTACAAACAAAGGTCCACTTCCATTATTCTGCGAGTGTTTAGAGTTGCGGTGCTCATACCAACATTGAATTAATAGTTTGGGACTGACATTGAATAGCTTTACATCATAGACCTACTGTTTATTTATCAGAATTAGTTATGTTAAAATATTATTCGTATGTTAAAAAAGGTGGACAATACTTCAAAGTGACAAACATCATTCAAAGTGAATTGTGATCATCGTAATTGCAATTTCGCGGGAATAATCAATATTCTGATGATTGTGCAGCCCTACGCTCACGTGATGACGTCACTCTCGCGTGATTGGCTCAGCACCTGGAGGCATGACGGTCTCGGTGAGCCGGGATCCCGCGGTCGGCGCCACCGTGTTGCAGTGGACGTTGTACTTCTGGCCTTCGATGGCCAGTGTGTTGGACAGACCCAGCAGACCCAGCTTCGCCGCGCTGTAGTTCGCCTGCCCGAAGTTCCCGTAGATTCCCGCCGCGGACGACGTCATGATGATCCTGCGCACAGACGCCAGGAAAACGTCACATGTTCAGGTGTGTGTCCAACACTGGCGTAGTGTCCGTGACGTCACCTTCCGCTCTCTCGAATCCAAATCATACTGTATGGTCAGTGTGCATCATGTGCTGGTGACTAGCTGAGGTGATGCTAACGCTAACAGCGGCAATACACCTGTCACTCTAGTGTTAGTGTTAGTTATGAACAACTTTAAGGCTTAATATAATTTAAACGTGTTGATTCAGAAGAGAGACGGGAAGGTTGAACACTGCGGGTCTCCGTACCTCCCGAACTTCTGGTTCTTCATGTGGTTCCAGGCGGCTCTCGTGACGAGGAACGAGCCTCTCAGATGCACACGGTGAATCAGGTCTGAAACACACGCTTCAGTCAGCTTCATCACAACCAAAAACAATTCCAACACACTAAACACAGACACATCAGCTCAACTCGTTAAAGTCCCGCTGTAGCCAATCAGCTTATCTCGGATCAGCAAAATGACATATTTAAATGTTTTTTTCCATTATTTCTTAAAATATCTTGAATGTAACTCGACACCCTCGCCTCATTTAGTATGTGTGGTTCTAAGCCCCGCCTCCACTCACTCACTCTGGTTGACTCACACACGTTGATCTGATTGGTTACAAGGTGGTTTGTGACGTCAGAAACACCAGCGATTTCAAAGCGTGTCTTTGGTTCACTGCAGTTAAGGAGGAAATACTCAGCAATGCTGTTCACTTATCAACACACACACGGTTTGAGTGTATTAAACACACCACACACACACACATTAAACGCTGGATTTACACCACAGGGGGACTTTAACTAATTGACGTATTTTGCAACATTGATTCAAGATTCACACTGACTCTGATTCCTCATTATCTGATGAAGTTTGCTCATTGGTTTAGTTCATTACTGTGAAGCTGCTTTGAGTCGAGACTGGATGTTTGTCACGTACCCCAGTCCGTGTCGCTGGTGCGAGCGAACGATCGGTCCCGCAGGATCCTTCAGAAACAGCAGAGGAGATTTACAACTCACGCCGCTCGCTCTCAGACAGTCAGAGATCAGAGTCATCCACTTACCCGGCGTTATTCACCACGACATCTGCAAAACAACACACACACACACACATCAGCGCATCTACTCTGAAATCTGCTCCTTCAACATGAGCGTTTCACTGAGACAAGGGGATTCGTCTTCTCCACAGGGAAACTTATAAACCTACGGAGGCGTATTGCATTCACTTGAAGAAAAAAAATCTACTCTGTTTTTCTGAATTAACGAGTTAATTTTTAATGGAATTTTTTTTTTGCTCTGTTTTTCTGAATTAATGAGTTAATTCAGAAAAACAGCAAAAATAAATTTTCTCATGAAAAATTAACTCATTAATTCAGAAAAACAGAGCAAAAAAAATTCCATTAAAAATTAACTCGTTAATTCAGAAAAACAGAGCAATTTTTTTTTCTCATGAAAAATTAACTCATTAATTCAGAAAAACAGAGCAAAATTTTTTTCTCATGAAAAATTAACTCGTTAATTCAGAAAAACAGAGCAAATTTTTTTTCTCATGAAAAATTAACTCGTTAATTCAGAAAAACAGAGTAGATTTTTTTTCTTCAAGTGAATGCAATACGCCTCCGTATAAACCTTTACCTAAAGGTTGTTAATCAGCGTAATATGAAGCCGTCTGTTCGCTTTATTTCAACTAGTTTTTATAATAATCATGTTTAACAGCTGAATTAACCGTACCCATGATTCTGTACAGAATTCAACCAATCAGAGTCGCTACGAGCTCTTTAGCTCCGCCCACTTCCACTGAGGATGACGTATGAACGGTTTTATTTCTCCATCGTTTTATTATTTGATGATGTCATTGGTAATGAATGCTAGATGTGTTTGATTTTAAACAGTGTTGAGATTCTCCTCGTAGCCGGTTGGTTTGTTTCATGGATTGTGATGCTTTAAACAAAACTTTTTTTTCTCTTTTAAATCCCTATAGGTCAGGAGAAATGAATGGACAAATACTTTGGGAACCAGCGCTGTGAAAGTCTATAGATTATGAATAATAAACTCGGTCACCTATTCGTCCGAACGCATCCAGCGCCGTCTGTATGAGCTTCTCTCCGTCCTCCACTGAATCTGTGAGGTGAGGAGACAGGATCAGGATCTACATCAGGAGTCAGGACAGGTGAGATTGATTGACAGGTGAGTCGTTAGTTACCGTAGTTGGCCACGGCTTTCCCTCCGTTGGCTCTGATCTCCTCCACAACTCGATCCGCAGCCGCAGAACTCCGGCCTCCTCCTTTAATATCTCCTCCCAGATCATTGACTGTGGGAAAGAGGACAGAAAACACAGCTCTAGGAAACGAATCATAAGCATCGACTCATTTGAACTGAATCGTTTAGAGATCCGATCACCGATGACAGCGGCTCCTCTCTTCCCGAACGCCAGCGCATATTCCCTCCCCAGACCTGCACAAAAACACACAGGATGATGAACATGATTTATGAATATCAGCATGAGGGCATCAGTCACTCAGTCTTATCGGCTGTTTGCACTTTGATCGACTCAGAACCGCTGATTCACTGCCAAACAACACGCTTCAGCGTTTATAAGCCTTTAAACTCAATTTAATACCCACAATAATGCATGTTCATAAATATTGCACATTTATATTCACGTATCAGCTGTAACTTTCACTATAAAATAAGGATAATACAGAATTATTATACTCTGTTTCCTGCTGTAAATCCTCTCGGGAAGCGTTTGTCTGATGCATTTACTCATTATATTTCTGCACTAATAACGGCATCTCTCTGTTAGTGAACTTTGCATTAACATACTTGCATGTATTTGCAGAAACGCGTGAGTTTATGAAGCTAAAACTGACCTCCGCCGGCACCCGTCACCAGCACCACTCGACCGTCGAAAGACAAAGGCACAGACATGTTTAGATGATATTTTTGTTTATGATGATGATGATGTTTCTCGGGAGCGATCAGTGTGAAAGTCTTCGGATCTGCTGTGAAACACTCCGCCGTGACTTTTGCCCTACTTCCGGAGCGCTGACGTCACCCAATAACAGCCAACCAGGTGCTCGCGTGTTCACTCCACCAAACAGCGGCACGTGACACTCATTTGTCCGCGCTGTTTATTGTGATTAATATTCGAATATATAACAGAGAATGTCTCTGTATATAATCATAATAAAAAATATTAATAAAAAACTTTAATAGCATCCTAATGGTTAAAATAACTGGTACGAAATGTTCTGCTTTGCTTGCTGTGAGGAATATTTGCATATATTTGAATATATTATTATGTTGGCTTGAGCTACTATTCAAAGTCCACATGAAATCAAAAGGGACGTTTTTTGGCTTTTAGTATGACTGTCAGCTTTATTGTTATCTATAAACTAGGTCCAAAACAATGACAAAACTCACTTTAGTAGATAAGCGTTCAAAAGTCACAATCTCTCACTTCTGCAAATATGGATCAGGGATTTTGATTTTTCTTTTTTTTCACTCTGCAGTCTGCACTGTCCAATCAAATGCTCTCTAGAATCTGAAGCTCCGCCCCCTACATTATAAACTTGAAAATGCTGAAATCGGTCACTTGTTCACACATAGCGAATTATTCAAAAAATGTAAATGCTTCCATTGGGGCGAATGAAGTCTGTTTCACGGTAGAGGTTACGAGGAAACTGCGGCTTCACCGAGATCAACGGCTCTGGCCGAGCGCCGAGCTGTGTCTTCTGGTTTCAGTGGAAATTACTTTCATTGAGGGGTCAAAACTTTTGAAGAATAAGACTTATACAGCATTTAAGCTACCAATAGCAAACCTTAATGACTATCCTAAAGAACAACATGCTGCTAAAACTTTAAAAATGTATAATATGCTAATTCATGCTATCAACATGTTGGCAACATGCTAATCTTATTAGCAACCTTTTAGCAAACATGTTAAAACATGCTAGTAACATTTTTAAAATTTCAGACCTGGATTTGTCAAACCAACATCAAGGTTATTAAATAAATATTTAGATCTTCATTTTGTTCATTTTATTACTTCATTGTATTTCAAGAAGCCGAACCGTACCGTACCACTTTTTGGGTACCCTTCCGTTGGGGTACCTAGCACAGTGAAAGGGTACTAAAAGGTGGAGCTAGACTCACTGCAGAACGCTGATTGGTGGACAGAGTATCGGCACTCGCGCGTGCTACTGTTATTGTGTCACGAAATGTAGTTTTAAGAGTTTTTCAGGCGAGAAAGTAGTTTTTTAAAGATCAAATCTGTGGTTTATTTGTAGATTTATGATAATTTGACTGAGATCCATTCCAATCGATCACCGGACGCTCGCGCTCGTGTCCCCCGCCTGGAACAGACTTTCCTCGGCTAGTCGTTCTGATGTTTGCCGCTGACTCGGACGTCTCTGTAGTGGTTAAACATGATGAGATATAGTTCGTCTTGTATAAACCTGTGAAACAGGTGATCTTTGGTCTCGTGAATCTATAATTCGTTCCCTGGCCAATAGTTTTGGCAGAAGGCTACGTGAAGTTTCATATCTTTGAGCGCTGAATTATATTTGACTGACTGAATTGTTTCTTGATGTTGAAACAATTGTTTCAATTGTTTCTTGATGTTCTTGAAATGCTTTACTGTATATCTTTTTTTGTACCTTTTATAATGGCTATTATTGATAAAACTGAAAATCAACAAAAAGAGATAGTTTTGTAATTTTTTTTTTATTGTATTACAAGATCACCTGTAATGTTGTTTATTGCAACATTTGTACCAATGCGATATGCAATACATTACATTACATATTGCCTGGAATATGTTTAATATTTTTAAATTTAAACGAAAAGAGGCAGGGTTGTTTTATATTTAATTTTGTTATAAATATAGTCTAACGTTACATAGGCTACATGTAGGCTAGTGATAATCAATAGGATATGCATTGCCTGAACCACATTTGTGTGCTTTAGAATGTTTACAAAGTATTGAAATGAAATCGAAATGAAGCAGAGTGGTGTTTTATAACATATTTCGTTTTTATTGTTGCCTAAAATGAACATACAGAGATAACCAGAGCGAGCAGAGTGCCGTGTTCAAGAACGCGCTGTTCCATTAGCAGAATTACTGGACTCGCGTCCTCGGGATCATCTCCTGAGTCGGACTTTGCGTTTGGCTTCTTGGAAACGCCTAATGCCAGCGCTTGTTTCTAGTGACAACCATGCCGAGAAGCAAGAACAAGATCTGCTGTCTGTCATCCATTAGCCTATTGTTTACTATGTCGCTTTCTTCGCACTTTCGCAGCATACTACCACGCCTATCAAGTAAGGGTACTGTTGGCGGTGGAAACGCAAGCCTGATCATGGTGTACCCGACCCGACCCGTACCGTACCGTACCCCTCAGTGGAATAAACAGGTGCACCTCTTTCATCTGTCAGAGAATACCGACTTAATGTGTGATTAATAAATAAATACATAAAAATTGTATAAATAATAAAAATTAATAATTAATAAATAATTCATAAAATAAATAAATAAAATTGTTTTCCTGTCTCTTAAACACGAATTAATAAGGCGTTAATTAATCCATTGTGAGCTGCTGTAATGTACATGTCAGATGAGCACTGAATCATAACAGATCATATCTAATATCCACTCTGTATTAGGCTATTCAGGATTCATGAGGTTGGTGGTTTCCGTCAGTGTTTGTGTGCGGACTGCGCATGCGCGTGTTCACCGGGACGAGCTGCTCGAGATTCTTCTGCATCTCTGTAAGAAAACATGCGAACATTAACATGTGTGATCGCCATGAGAGGACTGGCTGCACAGCACAGGTTCGGGTGACCGGGTCCGGGTCCGGTTCGGGTTCCGAGGATGTCCGGGAGCGCGGACGCGGACGGAGGCGTCAATAAAGTTCGAGTCAAACGACAGATCAGGGGCATCGTGAAGGATCTGGAGAACATCTTAGGAGACCTGAAGGATGTGGCGAAGGAGCTCAAAGAGGTGCGTGACACTGCGATGATGATGATGATGAAGAGGACGAAGATGAGATGTGTGATGATGCTCGTGTCCGTCGAGGCCTCTTGTAAACATGACATTTACTCGACACGGGTTCACTCGTGTGAGTCAGAATCAAAGAATCGATTCGCGTGCTGTTCGTCTCACTGACAGCTGTCATTCACTCGTCTACGGTTGTTGTTGTTTTTCGTTATTCATGAGTGAACTGGGTCTGACAGACTTTAACAAGCATTAGTTACTCAGTCAGCTTCACAAGAGGAGCATTGGTGAAATCAGATGCTCTTTATCCAACTATATCGCTTTTCACTAGAGCACTGGATGCAGATAGCATATACTTTATATCGCTGTGCGTACATATAGATTTGCTATATATATATATATATACAAAAATGTGTTGTCTTTGTGTTGTATTCTAATTAATTAACCAATCATCATTAATACCAGACGTGGATGTTTTTACACTGAGAAATAACAGTCATTGTGTTTTGATTGATACTGTGAAGCTGCTTTGATGAAATCTATATTGTGAAAAGCGCTATATAAATATACTTGACTTGACAATATATATATATTTACATGTGTGTATACACACACACACACACACACACATACTTCCGACACATACAGATGTACATATGAAGAGTTCAGATGCAAAAGCCTCTAAGTGCTATTTGAAATTTTGTTCTAGAATGACCATTTTTATCAAGCTTGTGTATTTAATTTCAGTAATTTCACTTAAATGACAATTAATAGGTAATCTTCATTGCCATTTAAGTGAAATTACTGAACTTAAATATACAAGCTTGATAAAAATGATCATTCTAGAAGAAAATTTCAAATGGCACTTAGAGGCTTTTGCATCTGAACTCTTCATATATCGTATACAGTGAATACATAAACAGCTTTATGTGAGTGCTGAATGTACATGGATAAAGTTAAACATAATTACAGTACATGTAGACTTGAGTTATTGTTGGTATATATTGATATTTGTGTAGAATTGGAGAATAGTGTCGAATTAGCACAGAGTCTGAAATGTTTGGATCGTGATGTCTACTGTATTTGTGGAAACACACACACATTAATTCTTCAGTACTGTACTATAAATGTGTTATGGCAGCACTGGAGTCGCTCATGTTGTCGCTTTGGATGAAATGAAAGGAAAACACTTGCAGCTTCATGTTGTTTAGCTGAACATCAGAGGTCATGAGACACTAACATCATTCACCTGGAGACGGTCAGACAGAAAGAAACTGATTTCATTCATTCATTGTTGCTGTTATATAAGGAAACATGTCTCTTTCACAACACTCTTTTAAATAGGCTAAACAATAACGTAATCACATTAGCACAGTTCAGATCGTCATCAGTTTGGAGCAGTAAATGAAGAGTTCAGTGTGGAGTTCCTCAAGGCTCAGCATTAGGACCTTTGCTCTTCACCTATATCGCCAGTTTCTTTTGCAAGTTTACCAAATTCAAGGTTATTTTTGCCAGAAGTGGGTCACTCATAGCCAGTCTATATCGGGTCTACAGTTAATGGTCGTTGCTGAGATGGGTCGTTGACGTCTGACTCGTGTTCCTCAGGTGGTTCAGGAGATCGACTGCCTGACGTCGGATCTGCATCTGGAAGAGGAGCTGACGGACAGTTCGAAGACCGACACGCTGAACAGCAGCTCCAGCAGCACCACCGCCTCCAGCGTCAAGATCTACCCCGAGGAGACGGTGCCGGTGTCTCCCGCTGTCCTGGCGGCCCCGAAGAGACCCGGTCCGGCGGCCCGGTCCACGGCTAACGGGACGCTGATGAGGAACGGAGTCGCTAGCAGAGAGAAGCCTCCCGCGAGCCGCTGTCCTCAGACCACGAGGGAACGGGTCCGCTTCAGCGAGAAGGTCCAGTATCACGGGTACTGCCCGGACTGTGATCTGCAGTACGACATGAACAGCACGGACCTGCACTTACACGCGGAACTGATGGACCCCGCGCCGAGTCCCGTCCATCAGAACCGCGCGTTCCCCTCGCAGAAACCACAGAAGACCATCTTACGCAAGTCCACCAGCACCACCGTTTGACGCAGACCGAGTCCAGAACAACTGAGTTTGCACTTTTCTTCATGGTTTTCTTTTGTTTGGAGAGCAGCGGACGGAGAGACGAGAGAAACACACATCTCCAACGGTAAGAGCTTTCAGAATCTCATGCAAACACCATTTATCGAAGGGATAGTTCACCCACAAATAAAATTAGCCCATGATTTATAATAAAAATCATAAATCATATATTTTTTAAAAACATTTAAAAAGTACATTCTCATAATGTTTGAAGAATGATAAAACGGAATGAATTCAACTCACTGTTGTGTATCAGAGCAGCTTTAAGAGTGTGTGTGTGTGTGTGTGTGTGTGTCTGGAAGAGAATATCGTCACAGTCCAGCTGAAGTCAGTTCAGTGATGTTCATTTCTGTTGTAATTAAGTTATTATTTTAGTTCATATATATATATATGTATATATTCAGCCGCTCTGGAGTAAACCGTGATGTCATCGTCCAGCTCAGTTCAGTTCTGGTATAATAGTGTCAGTGCAGGAGATCAATAATACTGATGAATATTGAATGTCCATAACTAAACAGACAGGCTCAGTGACAGAATGGAGAAAAACAGTGTATGATTATGATTGTGATGATGATTCAGGAGCATTACAGGTCAGAAGTCAGATTGGTTTGGAGCAATAAGAATATTGATGATGATGTCACTAAAACGTTCTCATAATTGAGACGATGAGAGAGATGGTCTTTTGTTTCCCCCAGGCGTCTCGTACGCTGATCATCTTCACTTCATTGCGTGGCGTTCAGCGAGCGCTGGGTTTCTGACAGAAGCGAGCCGGAGGACAGAGCGTCGGAGGAAGAGGACTCAGATGAGAACACTCCCTCTCCTCAGAGCCGCTCCGAGAGCCTTTAACAAGAGCCGTGAGACTGATGGAGCCATGCTAGTCCAGAAAACCAAAGGAGTGTGTGTGTGTGTGATGTCCAGCCGGATCGGAGTGTGTAACGTGGACTGGAGTGTGTGTGTGTGTGTGTGTGTGTGTGTGTGAGATGTCCAGCCGGATCGGAGTGTGTAACGCGGCTCACGACGCTGCCATTAGAACATCACAACTGAGGTTTCAGTTCGTAAAGACCTTATTTGTGTTTTTGTAAAGAAAACCTTCAAATATAAAAAGCATATTTTTGATATTTAATAAAATGATTTTAAAGATGTCACACAGTTTATGATGGAAAATGTATTTATGTACCAAATAAAAACATGAAGCGATCTGCATCTGAATGTGTGTTTATTAAGGGTCCCGTATTATGCAACTTTTCACAAGATGTAAAATAAGTCTCTGATGTCCCCAGAATGTGTATTTGAAGTTTCAGCTCTAAATGCCCAACAGATCATTTTTTTACAGCATGTTTAAATTGTCTTTTTTTGGGGCTCAGAAAAACGCGCTGTGTGAGTGAGTGCCCTTTAAATGCAAATGAGCTGCTGCTGCCGGCACAGGGGGCGGAGCTTCACGAGCTCGCGCTCAGTCTCTCAGGAGTCAGGACGGAATGACGATAATATCAGAAACTCTCAGTAACGGTGTTCATTTCCAGTCGGACAATAATGCCTACAGAGTCAGAGTGCTGTATACAGATGGAACAGGTATAGTTTACTAGTTTAATTACGGTTATTATATCGTATTTGTCATCTGCTTACGTATCCATTATTTATTAATAGCCTACAAGTCTGCTGTTTCGGACCAGGTCCGAATGATGATCAAACATATACTGATTATGAGTTTAATAAAGTTTATTGTACATCACACAAAAGATGAACCGTCAGTTTTACTACAGAAAATCACCGTAAGAGCTGAGTAAACACAGTAAGTTATGTTGAGGGAGTTGAGGGAGCGTTCCTGTGGGCGGAAGCTAGTCAAGAAACTGTTCTACTGACGTCATTAAAGAAGGAAGTAGGGGGATGTAGTCCAAACGGGCCGCTCGATGTAGGCTACTTCTGTTCAATAAAATATCTCGCTTGGCATTGAACTTTGAGCTTTATAATTTTACAGATATTATGTATACTCTAACAACAACATTACACACTAAATAAAGTTTGAAACATGGGATCACGAGGAACGGGACCTTCCCAGCCGAGTGTGTTAAAGTGTTAAATCCGAGTGTGTTTGAATGATTCCTCAAATCATGTGTTGTGATGAGAGTTAGTGATCATAAAATCAGAAACACGCAGAAAATGTGTGTGTGTGTGTGTGTGTGATTGACCACGCTTCTCTGTTCACAGGTCATGATCTCGTAAGTTCTCGTCTCGCATCAGGATTCCAGCGGTCAGAGAATCTTCATGATCATAGTCATCATCACACACTCGGGACAAACACAGGTTTGGCTTCGGCTCATGAAACACGAGACAGAATCAACATGTGGAGGACAAACATCAGGACACACTACAGTGAGTGAACAGAACCGGCACAGGAACTACACACACACACACACAAATACAAACAGTCTCTCACACACTTGCTCACGCGCACACACACACACACACACACACACTCTCTTACACTCAGACCCACTCTCTCACACACACACACACTCTCACACAAACACATACAGTCTCTCACACACTTGCTCACGCGCGCACACACACACACTCTCTTACACTTAGACCCACTCTCTGTCTCACACACACACACACACACACACACTGTTATGGTTTAAGAGAAGTCGCTCACACACACTCTCTGCCACGTCTCAGGAGAGCAGTAAAGTGAACCCGCTGAGATCTCACAAACCGAGACGATGTTTACAGCTTCAACAAACACAACGGCCCACATGTGTGTGTGATGCTGTTAGTCAAAGATTTATTGAATATTCCATCATCATCATCATCATCATCATCTCCCCTCATGCAGCGAGTCCAGTTAGTTGAGTCTCCTTTATTTATACAGCGCTATTACAGTAAAAAATAGTAATACATGTAAAATAGTTATTAATTTAGTTTATTTATATATATATATTCAGCCACTCTGGAGTAAAGCGTGATGTCATCGTCCAGCTCAGTTCAGTTCTGGTATAATAGTGTCAGTGCAGGAGATCAATAATACTGATGAATATTGAATGAAATGATAAATTGAATGTCCCCAACTGAGCACGCGGAGGTGGAGAAGGCGACACATGCAGGATCTGCACTTTGATCAGGATCTCTTGATAAATCATTATTATAATATACTAAGTCATATTTATAAGCGCAAGTCAAAATTGACATACTAAGTCATAATTATGATGTGTCAAAATTAGATAAAAAGTAGAAATTATGACAAAAAAGTCACAATAATTAGCTTGAAACTGGCACAGTAAATCATAAATTATGACACACTGAGTTGTAGTTATGAAATAGAAAGTAGAATTGTGAATTTCTATGTCAGTCTTTTTATGTCATATTTTTGACTTTTTGTCATAAATCATGCTTTTGTAAATTGTGATGTGGCTATTTTGTGCTTGGTTTTGCCATCACCAGCTTCAGTGTGTGTGTGTGTGTGTGTGTGTGTGTGAGGAGAAAGTGTCTGGTGTTTTACAGTGCGGTGAGGTTGCGATGTTTTTAATATGTCCTGTGTGTTACTAGAAGCTGGTGTCCCTGCAGAGCAACATCTCGTTATGATGCGGATTAAAGTCGTTAGAGCGACGGCTCACATCTGCATCTCGTTGAGATCCAAACCTGAAGGTCTTTATAAGCGCCGGGCTTTGATCTTTACACCCGTTTAAAAGTGTCTCGTTCAGGAGATTCCCGATTCCCTGAGCTGCTGAAAAGATTGAGTGTGTTGTGTTGTTGACTTCAGTTCAGTTAAGTTGTGTTGAGTTCAGTTGACTTCAGTTCAGTTGTGTTGAGTTGAGTTCAGTTGTGTTGAGTTCAGTTGAGTTCAGTTGAGTTGAGTTGAGTTCAGTTGAGTTGAGTTCAGTTGAGTTGAGTTCAGTTGTGTTGTGTTGAGTTCAGTTGTGTTGAGTTCAGTTGTGTTGAGTTCAGTTGTGTTGAGTTCAGTTGAGTTGAGTTCAGTTGAGTTGAGTTCAGTTGTGTTGAGTTCAGTTGAGTTCAGTTGAGTTGAGTTCAGTTGAGTTGAGTTCAGTTGAGTTGAGTTCAGTTGTGTTGAGTTCAGTTGAGTTGAATTCAGTTGAGTTGAGTTCAGTTGAGTTGAGTTCAGTTGTGTTGAGTTCAGTTGAGTTCAGTTGAGTTGAGTTCAGTTGAGTTGAGTTCAGTTGTGTTGTGTTGAGTTCAGTTGAGTTGAGTTCAGTTGTGTTGAGTTCAGTTGACTTCAGTTCAGTTGTGTTGAGTTGAGTTGTGTTGAGTTGAGTTCAGTTGAGTTGAGTTCAGTTGTGTTGAGTTCAGTTGAGTTGAGTTCAGTTGAGTTGAGTTCAGTTGAGTTGAGTTGAGTTGAGTTGAGTTGTGTTGTGTTGAGTTCAGTTGAGTTGAGTTCAGTTCAGTTGTGTTGAGTTCAGTTCAGTTGAGTTCAGTTGAGTTGAGTTCAATGTGTTGAGTTGAGTTCAGTTGTGTTGAGTTGAGTTCAGTTGTGTTGAGTTCAGTTGAGTTGAGTTTAGTTCAGTTCAGTTGAGTTGAGTTCAATGTGTTGAGTTGAGTTCAGTTGTGTTGAGTTGAGTTCAGTTGAGTTGAGTTCAGTTGAGTTCAGTTGAGTTCAGTTGAGTTGAGTTCAATGTGTTGAGTTGAGTTCAGTTGTGTTGAGTTGAGTTCAGTTGTGTTGAGTTTAGTTCAGTTGAGTTGAGTTGAGTTGTGTTGAGTTCAGTTGAGTTGAGTTCAGTTGAGTTGAGTTGTGTTGAGTTCAGTTGAGTTGAGTTCAGTTGTGTTGTGTTGAGTTCAGTTGAGTTGAGTTCAGTTCAGTTGTGTTGAGTTGAGTTGAGTTCAGTTGAGTTGAGTTTAGTTTAGTTCAGTTGAGTTAAGTTCAGTTGTGTTGTGTTGAGTTCAGTTGAGTTCAGTTGTGTTGTGTTGAGTTCAGTTGAGTTGAGTTCAGTTCAGTTGTGTTGAGTTGAGTTCAGTTGAGTTCAATTGAGTTGAGTTCAATGTGTTGAGTTGAGTTCAGTTGAGTTGAGTTTAGTTTAGTTGAGTTGAGTTCAGTTGTGTTGAGTTGAGTTCAGTTGAGTTGAGTTCAATGTGTTGAGTTGAGTTCAGTTGAGTTGAGTTTAGTTGAGTTGAGTTCAGTTGAGTTGAGTTGAGTTGAGTTGTGTTGAGTTCAGTTGAGTTGAGTTGAGTTGAGTTCAGTTGAGTTGAGTTCAGTTGAGTTTAGTTCAGTTGAGTTTAGTTGTGTTGAGTTGAGTTCAGTTGAGTTTAGTTCAGTTGAGTTGTGTTGAGTTCAGTTGAGTTGAGTTGAGTTGTGTTGAGTTGAGTTCAGTTGAGTTGAGTTCAGTTGAGTTTAGTTCAGTTGAGTTGTGTTGAGTTCAGTTGAGTTTAGTTCAGTTGAGTTGTGTTGAGTTCAGTTGAGTTCAGTTGAGTTGAGTTCAGTTGAGTTGAGTTCAGTTGTGTTGAGTTGAGTTCAGTTGAGTTGAGTTCAATGTGTTGAGTTGAGTTCAGTTGAGTTGAGTTTAGTTGAGTTGAGTTCAGTTGAGTTGAGTTGAGTTGTGTTGAGTTCAGTTGAGTTGAGTTGAGTTCAGTTGAGTTGAGTTCAGTTGAGTTTAGTTCAGTTGAGTTTAGTTGTGTTGAGTTGAGTTCAGTTGAGTTTAGTTCAGTTGAGTTGTGTTGAGTTTAGTTGAGTTGAGTTGAGTTGTGTTGAGTTGAGTTGAGTTGAGTTCAGTTGAGTTTAGTTCAGTTGAGTTGTGTTGAGTTCATTTGATTTTAGTTCAGTTGAGTTGTGTTGAGTTCAGTTGAGTTCAGTTGAGTTGTGTTGAGTTCAGTTGAGTTCAGTTGAGTTGAGTTCAGTTGACTTCAGTTCAGTTGTGTTGAGTTGAGTTGTGTTGAGTTGAGTTCAGTTGAGTTGAGTTCAGTTGTGTTGAGTTCAGTTGAGTTGAGTTCAGTTGAGTTGAGTTCAGTTGAGTTGAGTTGAGTTGAGTTGTGTTGAGTTCAGTTGAGTTGAGTTCAGTTCAGTTGTGTTGAGTTCAGTTCAGTTGAGTTCAGTTGAGTTGAGTTCAATGTGTTGAGTTGAGTTCAGTTGTGTTGAGTTGAGTTCAGTTGTGTTGAGTTCAGTTGAGTTGAGTTTAGTTCAGTTCAGTTGAGTTGAGTTCAATGTGTTGAGTTGAGTTCAGTTGTGTTGAGTTGAGTTCAGTTGAGTTGAGTTCAGTTGAGTTCAGTTGAGTTCAGTTGAGTTGAGTTCAATGTGTTGAGTTGAGTTCAGTTGTGTTGAGTTGAGTTCAGTTGTGTTGAGTTTAGTTCAGTTGAGTTGAGTTCAGTTGTGTTGAGTTCAGTTGAGTTGAGTTTAGTTTAGTTCAGTTGAGTTAAGTTGTGTTGTGTTTAGTTCAGTTGAGTTGAGTTCAGTTGAGTTGTGTTGAGTTCAGTTGAGTTGAGTTGAGTTGTGTTGAGTTCAGTTGAGTTGAGTTCAGTTGAGTTGAGTTGTGTTGAGTTCAGTTGAGTTGAGTTCAGTTGTGTTGTGTTGAGTTCAGTTGAGTTGAGTTCAGTTCAGTTGTGTTGAGTTGAGTTGAGTTCAGTTGAGTTGAGTTTAGTTTAGTTCAGTTGAGTTAAGTTCAGTTGTGTTGTGTTTAGTTCAGTTGAGTTGAGTTCAGTTGAGTTGTGTTGAGTTCAGTTGTGTTGAGTTCAGTTGAGTTGAGTTCAGTTGTGTTGTGTTGAGTTCAGTTGAGTTGAGTTCAGTTCAGTTGTGTTGAGTTGAGTTCAGTTGAGTTCAATTGAGTTGAGTTCAATGTGTTGAGTTGAGTTCAGTTGAGTTGAGTTTAGTTTAGTTGAGTTGAGTTCAGTTGTGTTGAGTTGAGTTCAGTTGAGTTGAGTTCAATGTGTTGAGTTGAGTTCAGTTGAGTTGAGTTTAGTTGAGTTGAGTTCAGTTGAGTTGAGTTGAGTTGAGTTGTGTTGAGTTCAGTTGAGTTGAGTTGAGTTCAGTTGAGTTGAGTTCAGTTGAGTTTAGTTCAGTTGAGTTTAGTTGTGTTGAGTTGAGTTCAGTTGAGTTTAGTTCAGTTGAGTTGTGTTGTGTTGAGTTCAGTTGAGTTGAGTTGAGTTGTGTTGAGTTGAGTTCAGTTGAGTTGAGTTCAGTTGAGTTTAGTTCAGTTGAGTTGTGTTGAGTTCAGTTGAGTTCAGTTGAGTTGAGTTCAGTTGAGTTGAGTTCAGTTGTGTTGAGTTGAGTTCAGTTGAGTTGAGTTCAATGTGTTGAGTTGAGTTCAGTTGAGTTGAGTTTAGTTGAGTTGAGTTCAGTTGAGTTGAGTTGAGTTGTGTTGAGTTCAGTTGAGTTGAGTTGAGTTGAGTTCAGTTGAGTTGAGTTCAGTTGAGTTTAGTTCAGTTGAGTTTAGTTGTGTTGAGTTGAGTTCAGTTGAGTTTAGTTCAGTTGAGTTGTGTTGAGTTTAGTTGAGTTGAGTTGAGTTGTGTTGAGTTGAGTTGAGTTGAGTTGAGTTCAGTTGAGTTTAGTTCAGTTGAGTTGTGTTGAGTTCATTTGATTTTAGTTCAGTTGAGTTGTGTTGAGTTCAGTTGAGTTCAGTTGAGTTGTGTTGAGTTCAGTTGAGTTCAGTTGAGTTGAGTTCAGTTCAGTTGAGTTCAGTTGTGCCGAATTGTTCAGTTGTTGAGTTGAATGTATGAAATCATATATTCAGCTTCACTAATCAATCATTAACATGGTGTGTGTGTGTGTGTGTGTGTGTGTGTGTGTGTGTGTGTGTGTGTGGACCGTGTTATAAACACAGAACTCCTGCTGTGTTTCACATGTGGCGCATGAAGAGCTTCATATTTGATTTTAATGAGCAGAGGTCAATCCTCATGACCCTCATTAACACACACACTCTCTCTCTCTCTCTCTCTCTCACTCTCACACACACTCTCACACACACACAGATGGACAACATTCAGACTCTTTCTGAAGTGTGTTTGAGGACAGAAGAATCCTCCACCTCAGGAACAGCAGAATCGGCCAAAACCACAACGCCACAGTTCCTCTCAGAGAGACAGTGCGAACATGACACACACACACACACACTCCACAGGAACACTAACAAGTGTGTAGCCTCTGATTAAAGATCAGCGGGACTTCCAGCATATTCTGACACAGTGAACCTCCACCGTGTGTTTCCTCCGTCCGTCTGTCCAGTTCATCTCCAACCCTGATCACACACACACACACACACACACACCTGATTAAAGGGTTGGGCACACCTGATTGAAGTAATTGAAGTGTTACACAAAAAACTACTCAAACATTGGGTTGTTACGGTAACATAGAAACTACCCAATCACTGAGAAAATAACCCAAAAGACTCGACCCAGGATCTGAAGAAATAATCACCCAGGAGTGTGTAACGCGCTCAACGGGCGACTGAGTGACGTGTGTTTCTTCTGCTCCCAAAGTGACAATTCATTATTTCTAATACTAACGTGTGTGAAAGTAAATGATAAAAACACATGTAAACATAAAGACCCTCTCATTGCTTTTGTTCTAAATGCCTCTGATGATTCTGCTCTCTAATTGGCTGAATCAGCAACATTTACAAATTGTGTTTTTATTATTTACAAATTTTCACTCTAAATCATTGCATTGAACTTGTTTAATTCATCTCTAATGAACTGTATGGCTCGCTTTATTGTGCTGATGTAATGCAGTTGTTGTGAGATGCGGTGATGATGTTACTTGTGTAACTCTGACACGCGCATCAGCTCCTCCTCATCATCCTCATCCTCATCCTCGCGCGCTGAGCTCCAGACGGCCACGCGCGCTTTCTCGCACACACACCGCTGGTTTAGCGTGTATTATGGAGCGCGGGGGTCTCGTTCTGCTGTTCATGTGTGTTTGCAGTTGCGTTCCGACAGTTTTCTCTCAGCTGAACATCGGATCGAGAGCGGCGGCTCGCGCGCAACAGGCCGGTGCACTGCGCGCGCGGACGCGATGGACGAATAACGGGCGCGTGTTTAATCTGGTGAGCCGCGGGTCCGAGTACGTGCCGCGGGAACGTGCCGCTCCACCGGAGACCGGGATCAGGAACGCGAGCACGAGCTCCGGTGATGAAGGCATGGTGTCCGATGATCCGTACGATCCCTACAAATCCATCAGGAACAGTCACTACAACCCGTACTACAACTACTACGACTCGTACTACCGACCCAGACAGAGGCAGAGGCATCACGGGTACGGAACCAGATACTTCCAGAACGGTAAGAACCAGTCCAACAGCAGAGAGCGTTCTAGAGCTGTGAACAAACGTTCCTCCAGTGACGTTCGTTCAAAGTTATCGGGTCTTTAAGAATGTTCTCAAAATGTTAGAAGGACAAAACATTACTACACACACACTCTTAAGGAGCTTTATTTGCATGACTGTAAAAATGCACACATTTTTAATTTAATGACTGTAAATATACAAACATATACATAAAAGAGAAACAAAAAATAATTTCGACATTATACATAGATACATCTCAATAAAAATAAATAAATAAATAAAAGTACAGAGAGCAATTTAAGGGAAGTATATGATGGCAGGAGGACACACACATGCGCTGCCATGCAGGAGAATAAATATAAGCGCTTGTTTATGAGGCTCGCTTGTTGGAATTGAGGTCAAATCTGATATTTGTGTGAAATAAGTATCTCTGATGTCTTTATACTTGCTGCATTTTATACTCTCTCTCTCTCACACACACACACACACACACTCTGTTGCATTATTGTCCTGTTATCTCTGTAAAGCTGCTGTGACACACACTCTGTGCTGTATTTATAAACTCGACTGGATTCTCCGCAGGTCTCCCGGATCTGGTGGTCGATCCCTACATGATCCAGATCTCCACGTACGTCCAGAGAGTCCCGATGTACAACCTCAGATGCGCTGCGGAGGAGAACTGCCTGGCGAGGTCTAATTAATCATAAATGATGATGAAGATGATGATGGTGCACTCTTAAAAATAAAGCTTCTTCATCAGCATCAATGGTTCCATGAAGAACCTCGAACATCCATGGAATCTTTCCACTGCATAAAATGTGCTTTAGATTATTAAATGTTTTTCACATTAAGAAAAAATCTGTATATTTGAAAAAAAATGTATATTGTGACTTAAAAACACTTGCTGTTTATTTACGATGTGAAGTCGCTCTATTCTATTCATTATTCTCTAGTTCTTTAGGAAATGTTTTAAGGAATAACGTTACCTTGTCTAAAGAATCCATAATGACACATCATGAGCTTTTTAAATCTATAAATAACCTTCTAGTCACTCAATAACTTTACAGCAACCGATCTCTTGTCTGGTTTCTCTGCTGAACCTGATATTAGAACTGTCAAACCTCCTCCTGTGTTCCTCAGTTCGGCAGCAAACGCGCGAGACTACGACACCAGGGTTCTGCTGAGGTTCCCCCAGCGCGTGAAGAACCAGGGAACCACAGACTTCCTTCCCAGCCGGCCGAGACACTCCTGGGAATGGCACAGCTGCCACAAGTGAGGAACACAGACAAGAATAGCTAATAACTGATGAAGACACGCGATGCTGACGCTAAAGGGTTAGCTAACCCCGTGATTCACTCGCCCTCGAGCCGTTATAGGTGTGTGTGTGTAACCTCCTTATTTCAGACAACGATGTCGGAGTTATTTGAAAAAAATCCTGGCTCCTCCCAGCTTTTGAGGTCACTTGTCATGTGTCGGGTCAGAGGTCACCCTTCCGCCAGAACTCGACTTGTGATTATAAAGTTTTAATATCGTTATTTTTCTTGGCTTTAGAAGGCCTTTATTAACCCCCGCAGCCGCATGGATTACTGTTATGATGGATGGATGCACTTTTATGGACTTCAAAATCTCAGTTCCCATTCACTCCCATTATTAAGCTGGGCTGAGCCAGCATATTTCCCAGATTGTTCGGCTGAAAGAAAAAAATCTTATATACCTAGGATGCCTTGAGGACGAGTAAATCATGCGATAATGTTTGGGTGAAGTAACCCTTTAAAATATATTTATATTGTAGCGAACAGAGTCACTTTTTAATGCTGCTTTATTACCGATGCACTTGCCTCACAGCGACCCTCAAACTTCTGGAAAATGACTGCCCCGCCCACACATGACTGCCCCGCCCACACATGACTGCCCCGCCCACACATGACTGCCCCGCCCACACATAACTGTCCCGCCCACACATGACTGCCCCGCCCACACATAACTGCCCCGCCCACACATGACTGCCCCGCCCACACACGACTGCCCCGCCCACACACGACTGCCCCGCCCACACATAACTGCCCCGCCCACACATGACTGCCCCGCCCACACATAACTGCCCCGCCCACACATAACTGCCCCACCCACACATAACTGTCCCGCCCACACATAACTGCCCCGCCCACACATGACTGCCCCGCCCACACATGACTGCCCCGCCCACACATAACTGCCCCGCCCACACATAACTGCCCCACCCACACATAACTGTCCCGCCCACACATAACTGCCCCGCCCACACATGACTGCCCCGCCCACACACGACTGCCCCGCCCACACACGACTGCCCCGCCCACACATAACTGCCCCACCCACACATAACTGCCCCGCCCACACATATCTGCCCCGCCCACATATAACTGCCCCGCCCACACATAACTGCCCTGCCCACATATAACTGCCCCGCCCACACATAACTGCCCCGTCCACATATAACTGCCCCGCCCACACATAACTGCCCCGCCCACACACGACTGCCCCACCCACACACAACTGCCCCGCCCACACATAACTTCCCCGCCCACACATAACTTCCCCGCCCACACATAACTGCCCCGCCCACACACAACTGCCCCGCCCACACACAACTTCCCCACCCACACATAACTGCCCCGCCCACACACGACTGCCCCACCCACACACAACTGCCCCGCCCACACATAACTTCCCCACCCACACACAACTGCCCCGCCCACACATAACTGCCCCGCCCACACATAACTGCCCCGCCCACACATAACTGCCCCGCCCACACATAACACGTGTGTTTACATGTGTGTTTCAGTCACTATCACAGCATGAACGAGTTCTGCCATTACGACCTGCTGGACTCCAGCACACAGCAGAGGGTCGCCGAGGGCCACAAGGCCAGCTTCTGTCTGGAGGACACGTCCTGCGACCCCGGGTACTACCGCCGCTACGCCTGCACGTCCCACACACAGGTGCGTCCCCCGCCTCCGCTCCCTCAGCGCAGGCGACACACACAGCTTCATGATCCCGCCTCTCGCCGCAGGGTTTGAGTCCTGGATGCTACGACACCTACAGCGCCGACATCGACTGCCAGTGGATCGACATCACAGACGTCCAGCCCGGGCGATACGTCCTCAAGGTCAGAAACCTTCACGATTGTTTCTGTTTTGTTGGTGTAATATATTATTTAACGAGTTCAGTAATTAAGTGGAGTAGAGGTTATGCGTATTTGGCTGGCAGAGTACCCGCCGCCGGTTGTTGTAAGAGTGAGATGTGGAGCGATGCTGTTAAACTATCGACGAAAAGCAGGTCAGTCTGCTGTATATCTAATTTTGGTAATTATTTGATAAACTGAGTGCGCTCCTCTTGAAATCATTTAGGTTAATTATTTGAAAGTGCTCTCCTGCACTTTGTCAATAAAACATCATTTAAATTACGTCATATGCTCACATTGACGAATGCGGAACAGTTAGTTCATGAGCTGTAATGCTGTACTGGGGGGCTGCCCTGCACGCTTAATAAACAAACTCCAGCTTTGGTGTGAGAGGGCTTGATGTTTTTGTTCCAGGTTACAGTGAACCCAGGCTTCCAGGTGTCCGAGTCCGACTTCAGCAACAACATCGTGCGCTGTGACGTCCAGTACACCGGCAGCTCCGCTCACGTGTCCGGCTGCAGCGTCACTTCGTACGCTTTTATCTTTATTTTTAATTATACTTGCAAACCGTACAGAGATGACTATCATGATATGCAACTTTGTATACAATACACAAAATCATCTGAGTGGGTTCAAAATCAAAGTATCCAAAAATAGTGTTTTTAAGTATATTGTATGGATATTATCTGTAATAAATGGATCTCTATTTCCCCGTGAGTCGGTTTTGACGCGCCTCGATCCTTCTCTTCACAGACACTGAGCGGGTTCTCCCACCGGCCCGGCGAGCGTCAGCCGAGATCCGTGAGCTCACACCGCAGGACCCGAACGCTCCACCCGTGCGCCTGACACCAGCTCAGAAACCTGTTCTGAAAACGTTCTCGTTAGGTTATGAAAACGTTATTTCTGAATGTGTTTTTTTCCTTGGTTTTGTGAGCGTTACGGGAACATTCCAGTCAAACGTTATGGGAACGTTGCTTTTGAATGTTCTCCGAACGTTCTGTTTAAAAACGTGCAACTAAAACATTTCAGCAACGATGGATGAACGACGTTGAATGAAATAGACCGGATAACTCTAACTGTACCGGAAGAGCGTTTATCGTAATGTTCTGAGAGCGTTCCCTGTCAGCTGCACATGTGGAATTATGTTATTTAGTCTTCATCTGTGTGAACCATCATGCAGTCGTAGCGCACTTGCTCTTTAGAAAGAGTCGAGTCTCTTCAAATATGTTAATCGTGTTGTTTAGTGTGAATGATGTATTAGGGTTAGGGTTGCTTTAAGACATATTTATATTTTCAGCCTCTTGCTGTGGATGTTATTGCCTCTTTAGTTTAGGAGGAACACACTTGAATAAAAGCAGATGAGAATATGATTTCTTCATTTTCCTGTATTCTTATTATTTTAAAAAATCGACTGTATGGATCAACACAGCCTTATGAATCGTATGTGAGAGGGTCTCTCTCTCTCTCTCTCTCTCTCTCTCTCTCTCTCTCTCTCTCTCTCTCTCTCTCTCTCTCTCTCTCTCTCTCTCTCTCTCTCTGTGTGTAGCGCCCTCTGCTGGTGAGTCACTGTGTGCGCATATGTGTGTGTGTGTGTGTGGCGCCCTCTGCTGGCGAGTCACCGTGTGCGCATGTATGTCGGGTCGCGCGCGCTGAGGAGGCTGAGGCGCGCGCTCGTGTCACATTCTTCAGATGATCCGCTATTCAGAAGAAACACAGACAGACAATCAGCGACACACAGCAGCGAGCACAAGGTACGACACACACACAGACGCACGCACACTGAACACATGAATATAACAGGAGAAAGAGATCAGGAATATATGAGAGAATCCAGAGAGAAACAGTGAGATGGTGAGAGATGATCTGAGAGATGCTAACGCTAAAGCTAATGCTAGAAACAAAAGACAGAAACAGGGAGACAGATAGAGAGAGATAAACAGACAGATTCTACACACACACACAACACACAGACAGACATCTGTATCTTTATCTCATCACACTCATCAGTTTGTTTTTCAGGATCAATTATCGATTATTGTGTGTTAGATGTGAAACTGCCACACATTAAATCAGGGTTCTGCTCTGTGTCTGATTCATCAGTTATTCTGAGAAAAAACGCGTTTCATAGTTTTTCATCAAAGTATAAATAAGTTTCCTGTTATTCTGATGTCATGTGCGGGTTACCCCGTGATTAATAACTATTTAATCATAGTTTTATTACTCAGATGCATCTCTAATGACCACGCCCACTTTCCAGTGCTGATGGATGAGAGCAAGCCACGCCCCTCGTGTTACGCACGTGACGTCACATTTATGTAGTAGTTCATGTTCGGCCCTGTATAAGTTCATCAGTGATTATTATTGATCAATAATAATCATATGTGTGTGTGTGTGTGTGTTCTCAGAATGCTGACTGAAGATGGACGTTCCTGAATACCTGGATCTGGATGAGATCGACTTCACTGATGATTTACCTGTGAGTCACATGACCACGAGTCATGCCTGAACTCTTCTCTTTCAGTGTCCAATTCTGCCATTATTTCCATTTCAAACCCCAAAGACTGTTCCTCATCTTTGAAACACTTAATGAAGATATTTTTAATTAAATCTGAGAGATTTCACTCATTTTAAACTATTCAGTCGATCAGCAATTCCCAGACGTTTGAACCCATTTGAGTTAAAATATTTGGACTTTTATAAAATAAAATATAATATATTATGTTTAACAGTCACATGAACTTTAGCTAAACAAGAAAAATATTTAATCTTTTTTTAGTGTTATTTTGTGTTACTTTAAAATGATTTATTGAATTTTTTTTGTGTTTTTAAAATCTACACTGATTTATTTTAATTTTAAATTCTCACAATCAAATTAATTTTTTATCATTTTATTTTATATGTTTTTATTTTTAAACAATTTATTTATTTTCTTATTTTTTGTTTTAATTTTTTTTGTAAGTTTTATTTCGATTTTTTTTTTTAATTTTATTTGTATGAGTTAATGATATTTTTAGGAAATGCTAAAAAAATGCTTTTTTCAGGTTTCAGTAAGCTTTTTTCTATTTTTATTTATTTTTTAAATTATTTTTAAATGATTAGCTTTTGATCAACTCATGAACTCCAGTTTTGGGAGCCTTTAAGATATTTAAGTGTATATTAATGTTACAGGAATAATACTGTAGATTACAGTGTTGTATTTGTTCATCTGTTTTAAAGTGACTTACGTTTTTTTCAAGGTTTCCCTTTATTGGTCAGATGTTTCCTGGGAGTCAAACCTGTGTCCTTTCAACTAAATGCACATTTATTAATATAGTGCTTTCACTATACACATCGTTCAAAGCAGCTTTACAGAAAATGCATTTAGTCTACATTACAGTTTACAGTGATCAGAGGAAACTGAGTAATGTATTTCAGAAATGCACATATACAAATTCACAGTTAGCGAAAAATGTATTAATTTAAACAATGTAATAATTTAATGCAGAAACAATGAGGTCATTGAAGGAATGAATACTTGTGTGTTAATAAATGATGATGGCATATAGAAAATGTCAGTATAAATCCTTCAGTATTATGATGCACAGAGTTGCTGGAGCTCCTGTGAGGAGTTTGCGCTTTAGCTCGTGTGTAACTGATGTCTCCTGTCACAGTACAAGAGCATTCCCGAGCTGTGCCGGAGACACGATGGGCCGAGCGACGAGAGGCAAGGTACGACACACACACGGCTGGGATGGCACAGGGGTTTAACATACATTAAAATAGTGTAGGCATGCACTATAAAAAAATTTATTTATTTACTAAAACAAAATTTATTGCCGTGTTTCACAAGAAAAAACTATTTTAGTCTTTATGCTTCAAAAGTTTGTTTAATTCAGTGCTACTTGCCGTTGCTTTGTAGTTTGTTGTGAAATGTACACGTGAAAACTGTTTCTTTTAAGTAAATCCTACACCAATTTTTTTATTGTGGTGTATATTCCAAAAAACATGGTACGCATCCCACAAGCCCTGGTAATACCATCAAAGTAACTTGAGTAATGTAATCGGATTACTTTTTCAAGTAACTAGTAAAGTAACGCATTACTTTTTCAATTTACAACAAAATAAAAGTGTGTGTGTGTAAACTCTACTCTACTGTACTCTACCTCTTCTGTATATCGAAATGGGTAAATTGAAATGGGAATCGTTAAAATTCAAACTTGATTGAGAGGCATTATTTTGTGAGAGTCTATCAGATATATTTGTCTTGTTTTCCAGCTCCGGCCATCAACTGGGGTCGTAACGCGGCGTCACACGGCGGAGCGGGAAACAAGCCCACCGGAATCGCCGACGTCTACAGCAAATTCAGGCCCGTCAAACGCGTGTCTCCCCTCAAACACCAGCCGGAGGAGACCGAAGCCGAGCCGAGCGTGGACCGGAGCAAAGAGGAGTCTCCCTGCGCCGACAAGAGCAAAGCCCTGGGGAACGGAGCGCTGTTCGGGGAGCTGGAGCACTACGACCTGGACATGGACGAGATCCTCGACGTGCCGTACATCAACAAACCCAGTCAGCAGACGTCGACACTTCCCCGCGTGGCTTCGGAGAAGAGGAGCGTCAGAGGGGCCACGCTTTCCCACTCCGAGAGCCTGAGCGCCGGGAACCAGTTCTGTGTGCTGGCGCCCGTCAACTGGCCCGACATCAGGAAGACCAAGTCTATGGACCTCAGGGCTCAGAGCGCGGGGTTCGAGCTCAGCCACGGGTCAGACACCGATAAGCCCCGACTCTTCCCGGATAAACCCGGAGCCGACGGCGGGGAGACGGCGTTCCCGGTTCAGGGAGCCAGAGGCACGAGGGCAACGTTCGGAGACGGAGACGAAGAAGCCAAGAAGACGCAGAACATCCTGAACATCGTGAGAGAGGGGCAGATCTCACTGCTGGTAAGAGGTTTAAAACGCTTGCAACGTCAAGGTCATGGGTTCGATTTCCAGAAAAAGCAAGAACGGAAATGTGGAGCTTGAAATATAATGCAAGTCGCTTTGGATAAAATCGTCTGCCAAATGCATAAATGTATGTGTTAATAAATGAATCTGTAATTACTGACGACTTGTTTCAGGCAGTTCATATTCGCTTCTTTCTTTTAGGAGACAGTAACTTTATTTATGTGCACTTTGATCTTTGTAACTTTTAGACTTACAAACATCTCTATGACTCACTGCATGACTGGTAATATCCCAGAAAGCATAATCGCCGTAATAACGCGCTCGTGTGTGTGTGTGTCATCGCAGCCTCACATCGCGGCGGAGAACCTGGAGCGCATCCGAGACGAGGACGGGAATAACCTCCTGCACGTGTGTGCGTCTCAGGGCCACGCCGACTGCCTGCAACACCTGACCTCACTCATGGGCGAAGACTGCCTGAACGAGCGCAACACACACCAGCTCACGCCCGCGGGCCTCGGCGTACGGGTACGTCTGTAGCGCAACCAGGTTTCCGTGTCCTCGACTGTTAGTGGTGCAGCGGATCACAAAATCACGGTTCGGATCATTTACTATTTTTGACTCATGGATCGGATCAGCAAAAAAAAAAGTATATATAATATAAAAAGCTTTGCTTTACATTTATTACTTAAAGGAACGAGGCCTAGCTTAGCACAAAGACTGGATGTAAATGGATACAGCTAGCATACTAATCCCAATAAGTGACAAGATATCGCAAACTTAGCAGTTGATCCGCAAATCACATGCGTGCCGAACCGCGGGTCAGCTGATTCGTACGGATCACGATCAACTGTGATCCGTCGCACCCTACTGACTGTACTAGTGAACTACTAAACGATAAACATGCGAAACAGACTGAACTTGTGTGTGTGTGCGTTTAGAACGGTCACCTGGAGTGTGTGCGCTGGATGGTGAGTGAGACCGAAGCCATCGCCGAACTCAGCTGCACTCGAGAGCATCCCAGCCTCATCCACTACGCTGCGCGACACGGACAGGTGAGACTCCGCCCACATGCACAGGTGCGTTTGTGGTCACGTGACTAACCGCACGCACTAGGGCTAACATTAGCCCTCTGGTGTTCAGATGGAAATGTGGTGTGTGTATGTGAGACGCCCTCTGGTGTTCAGATGGAACATTTACTATGATCATCCGCTGATATAAAGTAATCACAGCCTTTGCCAAATCGCGTGCGGTTTCATTGTGATTAATCATGCAGCTCTTAACACACACACACGTGTTTCAGGAGCGGGTCCTACTGTGGCTCCTGCAGTTCATGCAGGAACAGGCCATTTCTCTGGACGAAGTGGATCAGGACGGGAACACGGCGGTTCACGTGGCGGCTCAGTTTGGACATCTCAGCTGCGTTCAGGTGCTCATTACATCACTATTGTCATTGCTCATACTTAAACTTCGGCACGCTACTCCTCCTGCACCGTTTGTCGTAGACCCATGAAATGAGGTGTCAAATCGACCGGTTTATTGAGGAGAGGTCTGCTATGATTTTTTTAGGCAATGGGGTGTACGATGTTCGTCCGGCGGGCGAAAAAACGGCCGGAAAAAAAAGTCCCATAGACTTAGCATTGACACAAAATTTGTGAGATCAAATCTTTGCATCAGAGGGTCTGAGAGACTTGGGTGTTGGGCTCTTTTGACTCGGCCTATTATGCGGCCAATACGTGGTGACGTAACAACTTCATAACCGGCCCTAGAAACCACTTGGGGGTACCCTAGCAACCATAAAACAACATTTACAAGCCAAATATCTGCTACAGAAAAATGTAGAAACATGGATTTTGGCTTTTTTAGACTATTTCTCTTTAAACATCATCCCATTAACTGTATAAACACACCCTAGCAACCACATAAAGAACCCTAGCAACCATCCAAACACATGAATAAGTTAAATCTCAAAACAGATCATTGTACAGACATGGGGGTGGGCTCTTTTGTTTTGGGTGGTAACCAGTGTAAATATCACCATGGTAACTGTGAAGCCACACCCTAGCAACCGTTTAGAGCCACCTAGCAACCATATTGCAACATATACAGTAGAAGGCATAATTCAGCTCCACAATATCATACAGACATGGCATGCAATCATGTACAACACCCTAGCAACCGAGTTTTGCCACTGCAAGCACCTCTCTCCACATCTCCACTTCGGATGCTTATTTAGTCTGGGATGCCGTAAGAACGAGAGACAGGAAGTGGCTCTCCTTCCCATTTCCTGTTGCTGTTCCTGTGGTGCTGAAAGACGTACCGGTCTGACTTGTTTTGTTCGGTTACAGAAAGAAAGAACAACATTCAATAACCCCACGTCACACAAATGTGCAAAATCTGCCTGCGAATGTTTCCACAAACAACAAAGTCAAGTGACGTTTATTAAAATAGTGTGTTTTACAACACGGATAGATTCAAAGCAGCTATACGGCTGTACAGCAGATCTAGAAGAAAAAAACATCACAGTCCAGATTAAGTAAGTTCAGTGATGGTTCATTTCTGTTGTAAGAAAATTATTAACTTTCTTAATTTATATATATCACCAATTTCAAATCATGTTTTTGAGACTGTCTTTAGTTGACTGCAGTTTTAAGAGTGTGACGGTGAAGATGCTTGAACTATGATTGCTAGCTGTCAGATTATAGTGTTTCCCATACATTGGTTCCCAATATCAACACTGGGTTTATATGAATGCATCTGAAGTGAACCGATGGCCTTTAGAAAAGTTTTGATGATATATCTTTGTCTCCTGATAAAGCGTGTGTGTGTGTGTGAGCGCCCCCTGCTGGAGCTCTTTATAAACACTGCAAACCTGCATTAATACCAGTGTGGATTTATTCAAATATTCACTCATGCCATACACTGAGATGAAGTCAATGTCCCGTGTGTCTTCTAACGTGTGTGAGCTCAGACTCTGGTGGAGTACGGCTCGAACGTGACGGTGCAGAACCTGCAGGGCGAGCGTCCTTCCCAGAGTGCCGAGCGCCAGGGTCACAGCACATGCTCTCGATATCTGGTGGTAGTGGAGACGTGCATGTCTCTCGCCTCACAGGTGGTCAAGCTCACCAAACAACTGAGCGAGTAAGTCCAGTCACTCACGTGCACTTATACTGTCGTTCGATTATTTTACGGCATAGCAGCACAAGAAGAGCTTTGATCACGTGACGCCTTTGAGTTCTGACCCGACCCGAGTGACACCACATGTGTTTCTGATTCAACAGGCAAACTACGACACGAGTCGCCCTACAGAACCAACTCCAGCTGCTCCTGCAGACACAAGAACCCAGACCTCGATCGCCCAGGTCTCTCACTCACTCACTCACTTACACACTCACTCACTCTTACTCACTCACTCACTCACTCTCTCTCTCTCTCGCTCAGTGCTCATGTTGAGGCGTGGCCTGAGATGACTCTGACGGCTGAAGTGGCTCCTGATAACCAGTGGATCCTGAAGCAGAGACACACGGAGGCGGAGTCAGGGGCGGGGCCTGGAGCCGGGCCAATGAGACGGCCGGGGATGGGAGAGAGGCGGGAACTAAAGTTGGCTCGTCTCAAGCAGATCATGCAGCGCTCGCTCAGCGAATCAGACGGAGACGCGGCGTATCCTCCGAACGAGTCCAAACCCGATCGCCCGACCCAACTCCCCCTCGCCGAGCCCGAGGAGCGCAAGCTCACGACTTCCAAATCCGTGGACGCTTACAACCCGTCGCCATCGTCAGACCAGAGCGATCCCGAAACCCGAGAGTGTCCCGACGGACAGAAGATCGCCACCAGTCCCAAAAGCGCCCTCAAATCCCCATCGTCTCGAAGGAAGACCTCGCAGAACCTGAAGCTGAGAGTCACGTTCGACGAGCCACCGCGCAAAAACGACGCCAAAGCCCCGCCCACCAAAGAGAAGGCGGAGTCTGGGAAACGCGCATTCGGGACGTTCCGCTCCATCATGGAGACTCTCAGCGGAAACCAGAACAGCAACAACAATAACACTCCGAGCGGGAAGAAGAGCGAGTCCAAGAGCAAGAGCAAGACGAGTGCGGTCTAGATCCGGCGGCGTTACGGCGTGGGCACGGACGCGGGTCACGGTGCTTCAGTAGCGAATCTCTCGCGACACTATTTGCCATCTCACTTTCTTACATGCGTTTTTCAGTCAGAACCTGCTGACGGGAATCACAGGGCAAGTTATGAACAAACGTTCTCACAGTAACGCTAATAAAACGTTCGTTCAATTACTTTTACAATAGTCATTTTTCAATACTGTGATTTTGTACAGACTCGATAATCAGAGAACGAACGAACAAATCATGTTCTTGATTCCTGGAGCGATTCAGTGCTGCACCTTCAGATTCAGATTGTTTTCATAACTCAAATACGTTTATATGTAATCTGTCTTGTTTCGAGTTAATGTATGGATTTATAATTTAACTGTTATGTTTGAATGCAAGAAATATGATATTATTGGAATCATTGTAACGACATTTGGAGGTTAAAATAAAGATGTTTTTCAATCGTTACACGGATTTAATCATGTTATCAGATGAGGACGGAAACATTCTATAAATTAATTTACGACTATTTTACGTAAACATTCAAAGTACATTAATATTCACAATGCAAAAGTGACGATCCTCATTTTTCCAGCAGATATTTTGTTCTTGTTTTGAACTTTAACTCACTTCATTTTGATTCATTTCTCAGGCCTCAGTATCTTCAGTCTGTGTTCTTCTCCAGGAAATGTCTCTTGATTTGAGAATGTTTGGATATTTGAGCTGGAATACGAGACAGAAACACTGAGGAAGAACATCATGTTTTCTTAAAAATCATAGTTTGCAGATGATGAATTATTGCATCGGCGCGAGTCGACCTGTCGTGCTGAACGATGAACCGCAGGAGTGAAGCTCCTGAAGCCGATCAGTGTGGACGAGCGACGCCGCTGAGGAGGTACAGCACACCTCGCAACACTGCTCTAACTGGAGAGAGAGAGAGAGAGAGAGAGAGACAGACAGGCAGAGCGAGAGAGAGAGAACAGGCAGAGAGAGAGACAGGTAAAGAGAGAGCAAGTGAGAGTGAGCGAGAGAGAGACAGGTAAAAAGGGAGAGAGAGAGAAAGCGAGCTAGAGAGAGAGGGAAAGAGAGGATTGAACTTTTATTTGGTCACCCTTATATCTCATACACATTCACAATAAATAATATAATAATAAAATATATAAAATTAAATATTCCACACCGACTGACCCTCAAAATCCACACATTTTTTTAAATGGAGAGAGAGAAGAATTGAATTGAGAGAGGTAAAAGGGCGGGTGAGAGAGGGGCAAAGAGAGTGAGAGAGAGACAGGCAAAGCGAGAGAGAGAGAGAGAGAGAGGCAAGGAGTGGATTAAACAACTTTCATTTATTCAACATTTATATCTCAGACACATTCACAATAATAATATAATACAAAATATAAAATTAAATATTTAAAACCAACTGACCCTCAAAAACCACATAAAATAAAATAAGAGAGAGAGAGAGACAGACAAAAGGGCGAGAGAGAGAAAGGAGAGAGAGGGAGAGAGAGTGTGTTTAAGGCTGTTGTGCTGCATGAAAATGCAGGAGACGAGTGTGTGATTTGACAGGAGGAGAGTCGTCTATAGATTTTTGTGTCCATTGTTTGGCTTATTTGTGTGTGCTTTACTCAGTCAATCAAATATAATTGACAGCGCTGGGCTGTGTGTGTGTGTGTGTGTGTGTGTGTGTGTGGCTGTGGGTAATGTGGAGAACAGCAGCAGCAGGAGCGAGGGAAGGGTCTCTCTCTCTCTCTCTCTCCGCCGTCACACACACACACACCGGCATCACCTCTAATCGCGCCGCTGATGAAGATGAGGAAGATGAAGAGCAGAACACACCATCAGGATCTGGCAATTCCTCACAACTTTAATTGCGTTTCAAGACATGTGTTGTTGCGATAAACATCCGTTTCTGAATCACTGATATGAATCTGTGGAGAAAATCTGAGTCGACCAGTGAAGGAAGAGACGCTCGTGCCAGTGACCTCTGACCTGAGATACCCTGCAGCGTCGGAGATGAAAAGATCATTTGTCAAATCTTTCGTTGACTTCCCTCTTTATTTGATCAAACTCCGCCATTCTGCTTTAATTCAACATCAGATCGCCATCATTAATGCATCATTTACTCCGATAACACACTGACACACACACACACACACACACACTTCAGCTCCTCCAGATCAAATATTTACAAGCTGAACTCAAATATGAGGAATGTCATGTTTGCCTCGTTCGGTGTTTCCGGGAGAAGCTGCTACGAGTCGTTGCGATTCGCAACTTGCGAACACACGCGTTCTTCCGGGCGGGAACGCTAAAATTCCTTCATCTTCTCCAAACGTGGAGCGTTTTTATCCGAAATGTTTTAGTAATTTACTTGTATGTTTGTGTAAAGTTTTTTTTTTTTTTTTTGGAAGACCAAGAACAAACTTTTTTTTTAAATCAACATTATGAATACACAAATGAAAACAATATTTATATATTGTAAGTAAAAAAAAAATTTTTTTCTTGTTTTTTTTTTTTTTTCTTAAAAAAAAATTGGAACGTTACTTTTTAATTTAATAACGTAACAAATATACGTTTTTTTCTTGGTTATGCGGACGGAACATATTGTGTCATTCTTCAAACTTTATGGGAGCGTTCCTGCAGTGCATAACCAAGACAAAAACATATTTGTAACGTTTTTAACTTTTGGGAACGTTTGCAAAACATTCGTGACATGTTTGTGAACATGTGCAGCGTGTTTTTTAGTTCGAATAGCAACACAAAAATCCATCAAGTTTCGAACCGTTCGATGAAATAAAGCGCAACATTTTCCCGCCACTAATGAGCAGAGGCTCGAACTTCAACAGTTTCATGAGCAAATGATCATATCTGATGTTGTTCACACACCGTGTTAACGAGAACGAGGCCAGACTGGAGTGAACGAGCCTTCTCTCTTCAACTCTACACACTCACAGCGTTCCTGAAACACTGATATCTGCACTTCACCAGAACACTACCGCTCCATGTTGTCATGATCCCGTGATTTAGAACGTTCTGTCAAAGTTATGATCAAGCGTTCTTCCAGGAACATGACGTTTGTTCAAAGATATAACGTTCCCAAAACGTTAGAACAAAAACATGATTTCTACATCGTTCATGGAACGTTATTCTGAAATGTTTTGGTATGTTTTTTTTTAAATGTTAGCTACTTGTTTCAGAACGTTCATAACATTATTGTCCCATATTGTGTATGAAGAATAATAAGAACACGAGAAAACATTATAAAATATCTCTGTTATGTTTTCTCTACCAGAGCAAAATATTATACAATAAATAAAACACATTATTTCATGTCAGTCATTACAGGGTTTCATTACATTACATTTTTGATTTCAGTTGTTGTTAAAGGGAAAGTTCACAAAAAAATGGAAATTCTACCTTCGTTTAGTCAACCAAGTTTTTGTCCAAACCTCTGTGTTTATCTGTTCTGCTGAACAATCCCTTTAACCTTTGACTATAAGAACATATTCATTAATAAATGATGCAGATTGTCAGTTCAGTGCAGGAATAAAGCATGTGAAGTGAATAATATTTCTAAAAACACTTATGCAGATACACACTTGATTTGGAAGCAGATTTCCACCACTTAAGAAAAAAAAAATACTTTGGAAAATCTTAATTAATTAAATAATAAAAACGTACAATTATGAATTTCTGTCATGATTATGATGACCATAATATATGATCATAATTTCTTTTTTTAGTCAATTTTGACTTTTATTTCAGAATTATGACGTAGTATCTCATGGTTACATAGGGCTATGTCATAATTTTCACATAAAAAAAGGAGACATTATGACAAAGTCCAATGTGATTCTGAAAGAATTCATGAAAAGTCATTCTGAAATAAAGTCAAAATTATTACAGAAAAAGTCAAAATTATGATTCAAATTGTATGTGATAATTATGACTTTTATGTCGATTTTGACACTTTATTTTAGAATCATGACACTTCATCTCATAGAATTTGGCTTTTTATGTCAAATATTGACATTTTATTTCAGAATGAAGTTTGACTTTCTATGTCATTATATTGACTGTCATACTTTCTATTTTTAAGTCAGACTTTGGACTTTGTCATCATTTCTCCTTTTCAAAATTATAACTGTTTTAGTCACAATTTCAGTCACAATATTTATTTATTTGTTTATTTTTTGTCATTTTTGTTTAGTTCGCGCCAGTGTCGCGCGCAGTGCTGGAGACCCGCCCGTCCTGCGCAGTGAGGGCGGAGCATGAGGCGCACGAAGCGCTTCTGTCATGAGACTCGGTCACATGACTAACTCAGCACACACTCATTCTATCACTCAAAGACTTTATTCTGCTGTTGTTGTTGAAGATGGCGGAGGACAGGGAACCTGCCGCGCGGCTCGACGCGTCGCACGCGCGCTCCTCGGACCCGGAGGACGGAGAGGATCTGTTCGTCAGCGCCGTGAGCAAGATGGAGGTGAGATGCGATTAAAGACGCTCGCGACGCGCTGCCGACGCGCATCGACACGCCCTGCTGTCACAGCCTCTAATCAATAATCAATGTTCATAATCAGCGAAACATCATCGGCGTGTTTTCTTCCGATTCTGACAGATTTCATTGAATTTCATGAGCGAGTAGAGATGCTAAGCGCGCATGCGCAACACGGGCTACTTCGGCACATCAACACTGCGTCACATGAACGCAGAGACTAGATATTATAAATGAACAAACCTTTAGAATATAGATATGAATAAATCTGTAAAGGTTGTTGCGTGTAAAACTGTTCAAGCGATTTCTGATTTAGAAAGATTGATTTAAAGATTGAGACACATAAAAAGTGCAATGAAATAAACATTAAAAGTGTGTTTTTGGATGTTTTGTAAGTTTCCACTTGTCAGAAAGAAGATGTAATGAAAGGAAGTGCCTGAAAACACAACGGTTTGTGTGTAGTGTCTCATCTTTAAGAATTAGTCATTTATCATCCAAACCCTGTTTTCTTTCTGTCAGCTCTCATACTTTTGGAAATATCATATTTGTCATGTGATGCTGTGCTGGTTTACACTGGTCAGCAGATTTTGAATGACAGGAAGACCTTTCCTTCCACTTCCTGTGGATCCAGTCACGAGTGTATCCTGTGAGCCGAACACGTTTACGACAGGAGAAAGTGTGTGTTACTGTGAACATTAACTTTAATGAGCTGGAGAGTAACCGTGTCACACACACTGATTTACATGTGTTCATCTGTGTGTAGAACTGCTGAGGGACTTCTCATTAATTTCAGCAGCGAGAGCCTCGTTACGGTCCTCAGGTTCAGGTGTTGATCAGGTGTGTTTCTCTCGAAGGCCAGCCCAACATCTCCAGCAGAAACCCTCATCATCAGCAGCTCCAACGGGCCAGAACCAGAGCCAGAGGAGATCTTCCTGGACGAGGATCCCGACGACCTCTTCGCTGGTGTGTGTGTGTGTTTGTGATCATAACACTCTCTGTGTTTGTAGACGTGACTCTGACAGCGACTCTTGTTTACATATTCAGAATGTGGAAATTCAGGATTTTACCCTCTAAACGTTTGTGATCAAAAATACTTTGAATAATCAAAGACACATTAAATTGATCAAAAGTGACAGTAAAGACATTTATAATGTTACAAAAGATTATATTTCAAATAAACACCACCACAGAAATATGAACACTGATAATAATCATAACTGTGTGTTGATCATCAGATCCTCATATTAGTGTGATTTCTGAAGGGTCATGTGACACTGAAGACTGGAGTAATGATGCTGGAAATCACAGGAATAAATTACACTTTACTGTATATTCACATAGAGAACAGATGATTGACATTATTATAATATTTCACTGTTTTACTGTATTTATGATGGGATGAACGCAGCTTTGGTGAGCAGAAGAGACTCTTTCAGACGCATTAAGAATATCTTACAGATCTCCAACTTCTGAACTGAACATTTCATTTCTGACCCATCAGACATTAGAGTGACCGTTACTTATGAACGCTCTGAAACAATCTAAAAATGCTAGACGAACATCCAACTAAAATGTTTCATAAAAACGCTGCATAAATAACGTTGTTCTAGCGTTTTAAGAGCATTATTGAGTCTGCCGTCAGTGTAAGCTCTGCTCGTGTGCTGTTCTCCTCAGAGGCGACGGAGGAGGTTTCTCTGGACAGTCCCGAACGCCAGCCGATCCTGTCCGACGGCCCGTCTCCCGCCATCACTCCGGTCACGCCCACCGCTACACTGGACCCGCGGGTGTCCGAGGCGTTCGCCCGCTCGCCGGACCAGGTGATGCGCAGTGACCACGCCGTGACCCCACCGTGACCCTGCATGAGTTAGCCATGATCCCACCATAACCCGCATGACCCGCCCTGACCCCGCATGACTCGCCGTGACCCTGCATGACCCCGCATGAGCTAGCCATGACCCCACCGTGACCCCGCATGAGCTAGCCATGACCCCACCGTGACCCCGCATGAGTCAGCCATGATCCCACCATGACCCCGCATGACCCGCCCTGACCCCGCATGACTCGCCGTGACCCTGCATGACCCCGCATGAGCTAGCCATGCTGCCACTGTGACCCCGCATGACCCCGCATAAGAGCTAGCCATGACCCCACCGTGACCCCGCATGACCCGCCCTGACCTTGCATGACTCGCCGTGACCCTGCATGACCTAGCCATGACCCCGTGACCCCACATGAGCTAGCTTCTGGAGTGACCCCACATGAGCTAGCCGTGACCCCGCCATGATCCCACGTGAGCTAGCCATGACCCCGCCGTGACCCCGCAGGAGCTAGCCATGACCCCGCCATGATCCCACGTGACCCCACCATGACCCTGCCGTGACCCCGCCATGATCCCACATGACCCCGCCGTGACCCCGCAGGAGCTAGCCATGAGCTCGCCTGATCTCACACAGTCTCTTCTGCTCTCTAGGATGAAGATGAAGAGGAAAACAGGGACACGTTTGACATCCAGATATCGGTGTCGGACCCGGAGAAAGTCGGTAAGGAGCTTTCAGGACGTTTGCGCTTCAGCGTTCGTTGTAAAATCAAGAGACCTGGAAAATAAATCAAACTCTGTCATGAATGTAAAACGGAAGCGGTAAACATGTTTATGACCAATCCAACAGCACAGATCTGGTCAAACACAAATGTTTGGTTTTATATGCATTCTAAAAAACAACCCAATATGGCTGGGTAAATATTGGACAGAACACATGTTGGGCTGATTTAACCCAGCATAATGGGTTGATTCATTTTTACTACAGTAATGGCTTTTTTTAATTCTTTCATTATAGATTAACTTAAATCCTCTAAACTTAAAAATACTCCACACCACCACTGGTTTACATGATAATTCCTTTATTTTTGATCATATTTTATATAGTTTTGTATATATAGTGCACATATTTAAGCTCATTTAACAAATGTTAGAAGTAATTCAAGTTTTGTTACACAAAAACTACCCAAACATTGGGTTCCTACGTCTGACCCAGGAGCTGGGTAACATAGAAGATACCCAAACTCTGAGAAAATAACCCAAAAATTAACCCAAAAGACTCAACCCAGGATTTGGACTGAAGAGATAACCCGAGATAAATAATACAGTGATCGTGTGAGAAATCCTCTGATATATGTGAGTGTTTGTTTTCCAGGTGACGGCATGAACGCGTACATGGTGTATAAAGTGTCGACGAAGGTGAGCATGACCTCTGGAGCCTCACCTGAGATGTTCTGGGTCTGCGGTGACTCTGAATCCTGTGTGTGTGTGTGTGTGTGTGTGTGTGTGTAGACCAGCCTGTCCATATTCAGCAGAGACCAGGTGTCCGTCAAGAGGCGCTTCAGTGATTTCCTGGGTTTGCACAGTAAATTAGCCTCCAAGTACATGCACATCGGCTACATCGTGCCTCCGGCTCCAGAGAAGAGCATTGTGGGTAAGTTCTGCACCTTCACTGATGATCACAGAAGCGTCTGATTGGTTCACATTTGTGTGTGTGTTTCAGGGATGACGAAGGTCAAAGTGGGAAAGGAGGACACGTCATCGGTGGAGTTTGTGGAGAAAAGGAGATCTGCGTTGGAAAGGTATTTCAGAGAACTAATACAGAAACATTCAAATATATATATCAGTTTAGAATAATATTTTAGTCAATTAAATGCATTAAAAAATACAGTAAAATTAATACAAATAAATATGCAATAAAACATTTAATACATAAATCTTTAAGTAAATATTTATTTATCTTTTAAATTAATAATAATTCATTAAAATAAATAAATGAAATAACTAAAATAGATAAATTGTAAAGTAAATATAAATGTATTAAAATTAAATATATTAAATCTGCTTTGGAAACGTGTATCAAAGATATAATATTGAGAAATAATAAAATAATATTTTAATAGAATATTCTTTAATAGAATATTCTAATTGATATTATAAATATTATAATTTTTTATGAATGTATATATTGAATTATGTTATAAATGTAATATATATGTAATATATATATTATACATTTATAAACTATTATAAATATGAACACTTATTATGAATTTAAAAATAATAGGTAGAGGTATTTCAAAGAATTAATAAATGGATATTTTAATATTTTTATTAGTTCACTGTAAAGTAGTTCGCTGTAGAGTGTGTGCCCTCAGTAGTTCGCTGTAGAGTGTGCGCCCTCAGTAGTTCACTGTAGAGTGTGCGCCCTCAGTAGTTCGCTGTAGAGTGTGTGCCCTCAGTAGTTCACTGTAGAGTGTGCGCCCTCAGTAGTTCGCTGTAGAGTGTGCGCCCTCTGTAGTTCACTGTAGAGTGTGCGCCCTCAGTAGTTCGCTGTAGAGTGTGCGCCCTCAGTAGTTCGCTGTAGAGTGTGCGTCCTCAGTAGTTCGCTGTAGAGTGTGCGCCCTCAGTTGTTCACTGTAGAGTGTGCGCCCTCAGTAGTTCGCTGTAGAGTGTGCGCCCTCAGTAGTTCACTGTAGAGTGTGCGCCCTCAGTAGTTCGCTGTAGAGTGTGCGCCCTCAGTAGTTCGCTGTAGAGTGTGCGTCCTCAGTAGTTCACTGAAGAGCGTGCGCCCTCAGTAGTTCACTGTAGAGCGTGCGCCCTCAGTTGTTCACTGTAGAGTGTGCGCCCTCAGTAGTTCGCTGTAGAGTGTGCGCCCTCAGTAGTTCGCTGTAGAGTGTGTGCCCTCAGTAGTTCACTGTAGAGTGTGCGCCCTCAGTAGTTCGCTGTAGAGCGTGCGCCCTCAGTAGTTCGCTGTAGAGCGTGCGCCCTCAGTAGTTCACTGTAGAGTGTGCGCCCTCAGTAGTTCACTGTAGAGTGTGCGCCCTCAGTAGTTCACTGTAGAGTGTGCGCCCTCAGTAGTTCACTGTAGAGTGTGCGCCCTCAGTAGTTCGCTGTAGAGCGTGCGCCCTCAGTAGTTCGCTGTAGAGTGTACGCCCTCAGTAGTTCGCTGTAGAGTGTGCGTCCTCAGTAGTTCACTGTAGAGCGTGCGCCCTCAGTAGTTCACTGTAGAGTGTGCGCCCTCAGTAGTTCGCTGTAGAGTGTGCGCCCTCAGTAGTTCACTGTAGAGCGTGCGCCCTCAGTAGTTCACTGTAGAGTGTGCGCCCTCAGTAGTTCGCTGTAGAGTGTGCGCCCTCAGTAGTTCACTGAAGAGTGTGCGCCCTCAGTAGTTCACTGTAGAGTGTGCGCCCTCAGTAGTTCGCTGTAGAGCGTGCGCCCTCAGTAGTTCGCTGTAGAGTGTACGCCCTCAGTAGTTCGCTGTAGAGTGTGCGTCCTCAGTAGTTCACTGTAGAGCGTGCGCCCTCAGTAGTTCACTGTAGAGTGTGCGCCCTCAGTAGTTCGCTGTAGAGTGTGCGCCCTCAGTAGTTCACTGAAGAGTGTGTGCCCTCAGTAGTTCGCTGTAGAGTGTGCGCCCTCAGTAGTTCACTGAAGAGTGTGCGCCCTCAGTAGTTCACTGTAGAGTGTGCGCCCTCAGTAGTTCGCTGTAGAGTGTGCGCCCTCAGTAGTTCGCTGTAGAGTGTGCGTCCTCAGTAGTTCGCTGTAGAGTGTGCGCCCTCAGTTGTTCACTGTAGAGTGTGCGCCCTCAGTAGTTCGCTGTAGAGTGTGCGCCCTCAGTAGTTCACTGTAGAGTGTGCGCCCTCAGTAGTTCGCTGTAGAGTGTGCGCCCTCAGTAGTTCGCTGTAGAGTGTGCGTCCTCAGTAGTTCACTGAAGAGCGTGCGCCCTCAGTAGTTCACTGTAGAGCGTGCGCCCTCAGTTGTTCACTGTAGAGTGTGCGCCCTCAGTAGTTCGCTGTAGAGTGTGCGCCCTCAGTAGTTCGCTGTAGAGTGTGTGCCCTCAGTAGTTCACTGTAGAGTGTGCGCCCTCAGTAGTTCGCTGTAGAGCGTGCGCCCTCAGTAGTTCGCTGTAGAGCGTGCGCCCTCAGTAGTTCACTGTAGAGTGTGCGCCCTCAGTAGTTCACTGTAGAGTGTGCGCCCTCAGTAGTTCACTGTAGAGTGTGCGCCCTCAGTAGTTCGCTGTAGAGTGTGCGCCCTCAGTAGTTCGCTGTAGAGCGTGCGCCCTCAGTAGTTCGCTGTAGAGTGTACGCCCTCAGTAGTTCGCTGTAGAGTGTGCGTCCTCAGTAGTTCACTGTAGAGCGTGCGCCCTCAGTAGTTCACTGTAGAGTGTGCGCCCTCAGTAGTTCGCTGTAGAGCGTGCGCCCTCAGTAGTTCGCTGTAGAGTGTACGCCCTCAGTAGTTCGCTGTAGAGTGTGCGTCCTCAGTAGTTCACTGTAGAGCGTGCGCCCTCAGTAGTTCACTGTAGAGTGTGCGCCCTCAGTAGTTCGCTGTAGAGTGTGCGCCCTCAGTAGTTCACTGAAGAGTGTGTGCCCTCAGTAGTTCGCTGTAGAGTGTGCGCCCTCAGTAGTTCACTGAAGAGTGTGTGCCCTCAATAGTTCACTGTAGAGTGTGTGTTCCCTGATTAGGCGTTGAGTTTCTCAGTGTGTGAGTCTCCGTCTCGTGTTGCCGCTCTCCTGCGTTGTAAAGATCACTCGTGTTCGGTGTTTTGTGTCTGAAAGGTTGCGCGGTGAGTATTAGCGGGTGATCATGTGTGCGCGCGGCGTTCGCTGCTGTCACCGCGGCTCGGCTGGTTTTCACAAACTGATGAATCGAATAGAAATTACAGTTCGGTGAAGCGCTGACATTTCTATGGCCTTTTTATCAGGCCGTGGAGTGACGTGAAGGTCAGGTGTGTCTGTTAAAGAACTGGTGCTGATGGACGTGTGTGTGTGTGTGTGTGTGCGCGCAGGTATCTGATGAGGACCGTCAAACACCCGGCGCTGCTCAAAGACCCGGACGTCCTGCAGTTTCTGGAGAGTTCAGAGGTACTGACCCGACACACACACTCACCCCACGAGCTCCTGCTTACTGTACTCTACTGTCATATATAGATATAAAGATGCTGAACACTCGAGTCTGCTGACGCTGCTGCGGATCAACAACCATAAATAACAGAAAAAAGTAATAAAATCCTGCACACTACTAGAGTTTCAAAATCACTAAAATATTTTTTTTTTAAGTTTGTAGAGAAAACAAGATCTGGTTTTGAATATATATTTTTTAATTAATAATAATTCATTAAAATTAATTACAATAAGTACATCTGCTTTGGTTTGCTGTTGTAACTGTAATTTATAAAATCTCTTGTAGGGACAATGTTGCAAATTAGCTTTAATACAAGCACTGACGAGCATTAGATGGATATGTTTAATATATCTGTCCCTATTCAAATAAAACATTAAGTTAATTAATTAAATAAATAAATAAAAGTATTTCAAAGAATTAATAAATAAATATTTGAACAGAATACTTGTAATTAATAATAAGTCATTAAAATAAATACAAAATTAATCAGAAGTAATAAAAATAAATCTGCTATGAAAAAGTATTTAAAATAATTAATTAAATTATTAATAAATGAATATGTTTATAATAATTAATAAATATTACAATATATTTTTAGAAATGATACAAGTAAATCAAAAAATGATAAAGATTTCAAATAATTAATGAACAATAAAATTTACATATTTTTCAAAATATTTGTAATTAATCATTTTGAACTAAAATAAATGAATTAATTTAATCAAAATCAATAGATCTGCTTTGGAAATGTATTTAAAGAATAATAAATACATATTAAAATAACTATTTAACAGAATATGTTTAAGTAATATTTAATTAAATAAATAAATAAATCTGCTTTGGAAAGGTAGGCTATATCAAATAATTGAGCCTACATATATTGTAACTTTTATTTATTTAATTAATAAATGTATTCCTCAATTCTTTGAAAATCTTTAAAAATCAGATTTATTAATATTTGTTTGAATTATTTTATTTTAATGAATTGTTATCATTTTATTTAAATATATTTAACATTGATTTATTTTATTAATACATTTAAATAAAAAAATCATAATAATTAATTACGAACAAAATACAACAATTTAAATAAATATAAATAAATCTGCTTGTGAAAGGTATTTCAAATTATGAATAAATAAATATCAAAATATTGAACTAAAATAAATAAGTTAAATTAATTAAAATAAATCTGCTTTTGAAATTTCAGCATTTTAGAGAATTAGCACAGTTAAAGGCTGTTATTAATTATTACTCAAGAGCTGATGCGCTCATAACTCTGTGATATGAAGGTGATGTAGATGTAGATGTAGGTGTAGTTCACACACTTTACTCTGGTACAGGAGTGTGTGTATGTGTGTGTAAGGCAGGACGGGGACGCGCTGAACGCTCCGGCCCGATTGAAAGCTATTTTGCGCGCGGCCCTCTGAGAGTTTTCCACGGTGAAACGTATTAAATTGGACCAGCATTGAAATGTATAGGACTGGAGAAACTCCCGGCGCGCCGGGAAACGCTTCCCGCGGGATCGCATCTGTTAACCGGTTTGTTTGGCCTTATTTGTCATGTTGTGCAGCTGCCGCGCGCGGTTAGCACTCAGGCGCTGAGCGGCGCAGGGATATTGAGGATGGTAAACAAGGCGGCCGACGCTGTCAACAAGATGACAATCAAGATGAATGAAGCGGATGCGGTAAGAGTCTGATTTCTGGACTTGAATAATGAGACGAATTAATGAGCTGCTCTCTGGCTTCAGACGTGTGTGTGTGTGTGTGTGTGTGAGAGAGAGAGGGGTCATGTGACGCATCTGTGCTCTTTATACACTGACTGCGCACTTTAAAATGTTTACAGTGTTGCACATCCATCAGGCCTTCATGGAAATATGGATAATAATCCTGACTCATATACAGCTATTAACTGGAATCCAATTATATAATATATATATATATATATATATATATAT